TTGTGTCATTCACACATGTAATCATTTAGTATTAGTCTCTCTACATCGCTAAAGCTCAAAATGTCATGAAGGTCTATGGAGTTTAAAAACACAGTGGAGCACTTCCTGTACTGCCACATGACATCACAAGGTGGGACAGAGTGTTTTCTGTTTGAGAGAAAGCCTACATATGCAGGATTTCTGTGAATAAAACAAAACACAACTCCAGGTTTGTTTTTGATGAGGAAACAACACTAAAACAGATCATAAAATAGCATAATAAGAGCCCTTTAAAGGTCCACTGTGTAACTTTTCTGATACAGTCTAGTCCACCTGTTTGTCTCCATGGAGATCATTATTGCTGGAATGTTCACAACTTTGCATTCACAACGTCCAATCAATCAAATCCAACATTTTTTTAAATACATGCATTCTGAGTGGGGTCTCCTTTTTGCAAATCTGACTTGTAACTTTTAACTTGGTGACATCTCCATGGTAATGAATACATTCAATGCCGTACAGTGGATCATTATGAGCAAAGGAATAGCACCAACATGGAGATAAGATGATGGCTCGTCTCCATGTTGATGCTATTCCTTTGCTTATAATGGAGACAAGATGATGGCCGACCACCCGAAAAATTACAGAGTGCGGCTTTAATGGCAGGTCAGTTTTTCTTTTGTGTTTTTTTTCCCTGAACAAACAAATGCGTCACAGGCAATTATAAGATGCTCTATATATGGTGAGTGAGCTAGCGTGTTATTTAGCCTTACTACGGGCCATTACACAAACTGCGGGATGTGCTGCTTTAGCTAAATGCCCCGTTTAATGCGGCTCGCTCATCGCCACCTCACACATGGGTCATCTCCTCTCTCCTCTCGTCTTGTGGAAAGTATAACTGGTGTGATATACATGTGTAAATATGACGCCATGCATAATGTATAGTATGTATTGTATTGTGTATTGTGAGTTTTATTATGAATGAAAAATGGGTAATAAAGTTTATAGGACAATGGGACCCATGTTTTAGGTTCCATTTGGGTACTTTCGGTTTGTGAGAGTTATATTATTATAGTATTATAGAGTATTATATTATATTTTTACAAATTTATTTATTAATTACTATATACTACAGAGGAAGATAATATATAAATTACAAAGCCTCCAAGCTATAACAGCTATAACAAAAGGTAATTTAGTAATATAGGAAAATATGTCTATGTTAACTCTAGGGGTGTGCAAAAATATTGAAATATCGATATATCGTATCACTTAAAGTGATGTTACAGTATATACAGATATCATGGGCTGCTGTATCGATATTTCGGCAAGAGTCTTTTTGGTATATTTTTCTAAATTATTTTGTTACAGTGCTACAGTTTTGTTGCTTGTTTAGAGAAAGGAAACATTTATGTGACACATTTGACATTTTCACTCGTTTGATTATTAAATTGTTTGTGTTTCATATGAACTTCACACAAGAAGTGGTTTAACAAAGACTTTTAGTATCACAGCCATGATTTAGCCTTTATTTTTTATTGAACCGTATCAAATCAATTTGAAATATATCGTATTGAATCGTATCGAATCAAAAGCTCACTGTATTGAGATATGTATCGTATCGTGGCCTATGTATCGAGGTATGTATCGTATCGGCAACTTGTAAATGATACCCAGCCCTAGTTAACTCCTACTTGAGAATAATAGTCCAATGAGGTTAATTTGGTCTTCCGATTATTTATGGTATTAGGTTCTTTTTTCTGACCAAGAGTTTGTTTTCTTATCTGACAGTTTCAACTGCTCACGAGAGGTCTTCGTCAGAGTGGTCATGTGATGTTGTTGTGACATGTCCGGTCAGCTGATTTATACAGGTTTTGGCACTGTCTTCCTACGGGTGAAGGCACCATCTGCAGTGCAACAGTATTCCAGTGTGTAAGAGTAAAAATGCCCCCTAGTCCTGATTTATAGTCTCGTGAGCACTGAAACTGTGAGCAGTCAAAAATCTCAGGTGTGAAAACAAACTCTTAGAGTGAAAAAAGAACCTAATAACATATCTCACTTGAGCAATTTGACTCAGATATATTATATCAGCAGCTCTTGAGGTCAAAATGTCCACTACTTGGTGTCTGCATATAATTAACGTTTTATTGCGCAATGATAAAAAAGTGTGTGTTAGCATGCTAGTTGTTGTTTTACTGTGACAGCAAAACTCCGCTCTGACCTGGAAATTTGTTAAAGCTCTTATAATCACTGTGAATAATGCTTGGAATGTTTGAGATAAGTTAAGTACAACTTTGGACCACTGCAAATCATTTAAAATTAACTTCTTGTTTTGCTCATAATTTTAAGAAAGCTGTATGTATGTGTAATATTTTTAAATATTTTTCAGCTACAAAGTATACTGAACATAAAGAAAACAATATGTACAGTACAAGGTGTAATGGTGGGAAAAACATAATGACATTTATTTATTTGTTCATTATAAATAAATTCACCGTGTTTCCAAGATGACAGCTCCAAAGTCCTGTACACATGCTATTTTTAGCATACTGTACATCAACTACTTATAATTATAATATGTACCAGAAACTTTAAGTTAAAGTGGTTACATACACTGCTTGTCTCCATGGTGATATTTTTGCTTTCCCTGCAATGTTCCATGGTATGACATTAAACATTTCCATCTAGCATTTATACATTACGGGTGTTTCTATTCCTAAAAAAATACAATAATTCCTTTTGTGAATAAGGACGTTTCTCAACAGATCAAATTTATAATGTTTAATCTAATAATATGCAATAACATTTCCATGGAGACAAGCAGGTGGCAGAACCTCCACTAGAAATATTGCACAGTGCACCTTTAAGATTTACATTTTTTTCTATAACATTTGTTTCTTTAGATACTGGGAAAAGGTTTCAACAAGGGCAAAACTACCAAAATGTGGAAGACCTATAGACTACATTTTTACATCGTGCTAACCACTCTGCCACCATCACTGATGCTTTAAAACACAACATTTCAGCACAAAGACGAACTCAAGTCTGATAAGTTTCTGATGCTACATTTGTTAACCCTTCACAAAGCAGAAATCTGGCTTTTTGTTCTTTGAAAGCTGCAATAATTTCAAAAACAAACAACAAAATATCCTGTCTTATTCTGCATAAAAAAAACTACTAACCCTGTAAACTTTCGATCTGCACAAACATGTTTTGAAATGTGATTCTTGTATTAGGTTGTCAGTTCATATAAAATGTGAAATCTGAACATAATCCTATTATTAAAACATAAATCGCAAATCCAATCACAATACTTGTCAGAAAAATCACACACAGTTATTTTTCCCAAATCGTTCAGCCCCACTTCGAAACACTCTCAGGATCATTTACATCAATATGGAACTCTTGCAAGTCATTTTCAATATTTTTTTACTCAATCCTTTAAAATAGTCCTAGAAATCAACAAAAACACAAACAACAACCGTCTTCAAGAATTCATGCACCCATCAGGCCCTGACCCACATCCTGCACTGCATTTCAGAAGGGACAGGCCAGGCAGGAAAAGCTCTCATGTTCATTGGGTCTTTATTTACGCACACTCGAGATGGTATGTGTGAGCGAACAGAAATAACACACACCATCTCATCACTCTGTCAACAAGGGCCAACGCCAGAGCTCGCATTTCAACACTCAACATCAGCGTCAGAAAGCCTTTGTGGAAATAAGCTGCTCGGGTGTGCTGATTACTTTGAGTGTTAAATGTGTGTGTGTGTTTGCGTATTTGTGTGTGTGTGTGTGGGTGTGCATGTGCATGTGTGTTTGTGGAGTTAAAAGGATCCTGCTAATAAAAGGACAAGGATGATGTCTATGTGCAAATACATATATCTAGGATTTGTGCTTTTACAGATTTTACATGAATGATTAAACACATCGACACGAACACTAAAGTTGGTATTACTTTTTGGTATTAATGAGTGGAGATGTTATAGCTTGGGATGTTTCTTAATACGGCATTAAATATACAGTATCTATCTCCAGGGAGACAAGCAATTGACAAGTATTTTCCTCATTTTACTTAAGGAAAATGAATTGAAACTAAGAATACTTTAATATAACGTACCCATATTAAGCAATTTTTTTATATATGTAAAAATGTTGTGGCCAGGCTGGCGCCACCTAGTGCCTCCACTCAATTTCATTTCTCTCCAGCAACTAGATCAGGAATTGGAATACACTAGATGGTTTGCACGAAGCCTGGATGTGTGAGTCCGGGCACCAGCCAATCATCGAAGATCCATACATTCTGTGTTGGCAACGATTCCCGAGATCGAGGATTTAAAGCCGGAACAAAGAGAATTTTTGGTGAATTTTATCAAGGGAAAAGACGTTCTTGTCCTTCTTCCTAAGGGATTTGGGAAAAGCTTAATATACCAGTTAGTCCCGTTAGCGCCACATTACATACGTCACGATCAAATAGCAGTGATTGGTTAAATAAAAAAAAGTACCTGCCTACCGTCCAGCGAATGAACCCTAATGCTTCGTGGAGACCAGCTGATGAATCAGGCTAATAATGTTTTTTTTCTCATCAAAAACATACCTCGGGTTGTGTTTTGTTTCATTCACACATGTTTAACACACAAAACCTGCATATTTAGGCTGTGTTCTTGTGTGAATGAAACAAAACACTACTCCAGGTAAGTTTTTGATGAGGTATATAACATGACTTAAAGCTCACAACAGCCAATTTTGTGTGATACAGAACCTTTAAGGACAATTCTTGGCTCCTCTGCCCACCCCTTATCTTACAACAGCAAGGTTTACATAATGAGTTTGTCTCCAGGCTGGATTCTGCCTCATGTAAATTAAACATGAAGTCTCTTAAGATGAAATAGTTCTAATAATGCAGTGTATGTTTCTAAGCAACACATTTTGTTGTATGTCGTTGTAATAGGAGAAGGTTTTGGCAGTAAGACTTGATTAAACTTTAAGCACACAGTAGTAGTGGGTGACTTGTGTCCTACCTGTCCACAGCCGGGACAGTCGTCTCCGTTCTCACACGTCCTGCGCCGTGATTGGATGCCTCCACCGCAGGGTACGTTACAGCGTTCCCATGGAGACCAAGCCGACCAGTAGACGTGCGGAGGGCAGGGCAGGTGCTCATTACAGTATCTGAGGGAAACACAAAACATGAGTAGGAGGTTCTAATGCAAATGAGTGGACCGAACACAGTGAATAATTTGTCCAAATCAAGACAGCGTAGCCTATATAGATATTCCAAAGGTTAAGGGTTACTGTAAAAGTTGGCTGTTTATTACCTCCGCCAAGGAGGTTATGTTTTTGCCGGCGTTTGTTTGTTTGTTTGTTTGTTTGTCTGTTAGCAACATAACTCAAAAAGTTATGAACTGATTTTGATGAAATTTTCAGGATTTGTTGGAAATGTGAAAAGGAAGAACTGATTTCATTTTGGGGGTGATCCGGAAGAAATCCTGGATTCTGGATCACTTTGAAATTTTAGTTAACATTGTGGTAAATGGGGCCAAAAAATTTGTTTCTAAATATCTCGGTTAATTATTGACCAAACCCCATGAAATTTGACTCAGGGATGGACAATGGGATCCTCTTTCATATTCCAAAGGCTGATCCGGATCTGATCCAGAAGACTGATTTTATCGCAATTTATATAAAAAATGGGGGTAGTCCTTGGCGGAGGTCTGCGCTCTCTGAGTGCTTTTCTAGTTTAATTTTATGACATAGCTAAAAGGTCCTATATTACACAAAATGGATTCTTGTGAGATTTTGTCCATTGTTTTGTTTCGTTCACACATGTTTAAGTAACCCTTTATTATTTGTCTGTCCATATTTCTAAAGCTCAAAATGCTCTAATCCACCTTGTGATGTCATGTTGTGGTAGTTTTTAAGATAACAGCTACCTTTACTTTTTGTTCGGTAGAGACTTGCGATGCCAATGCTGAAATTATCCAAATGATTCTAGTGAAGGTGTATGGAATTTGAAAACACAATGGAGCACTTTCTGTATTACCACATAACATCACAAGGTGGTTTTCTGTTTGAGAGAAGACATCAGCCTAAAGGATTTGTGTGTTAAGCATGTGTGAATAAAACAAAACACAACTGCAGGTATGCTTGAGATGAGGAAACAACACTTAACAAAGAAACATAGAAAAAAACAATTGAATATGGGCCCTTTAAAAAGAAAAAGTAAAACAAAACAAAAAAATAAATAAAATAAAAATTAAAAAACAAATCTGAAATATGGAACAAATAGTATGTCTTCACACTACACTTAATTCTGAAAATAATGAATAGTTGCTCATTTATTGCTTATATAGTAGTAATATTTTTGTCATATCATATCAAAATACATGCATTTTCAGCAGTAACACCCAAACACCGAATTATTTTCAATGCATTCTCTACTTTTTTAATCTGAAAACTTTCCCTGATGGTAGACAGGTTGAGTGCATTTGTTGAAATATACTACCCACATCCAACTGCAGCGGCCCTGTCTCTGCGTTCTCTTAAGCTGTCAGGTGAAAATGGCATAAGAACTCTGTCTGACACTGTGTTAAAATAATCTGTGAAGGCCACTAAAGTCGTCAGCACACTTTTGCCTTGTCACTGTCACAAAAATAACTCCACAAACTGTCTCTGAAGTTTACTTATAACAAAGTGTTGCAACTCCTTTAGCTTTTCTCTGTAGATCCTGCAGTACTGGCTTTATTGAAAATTTTAAGTTAAAATTTATGTAACTTTTTGGTTGAAGGGTCCATCACCTAATTGTTTGTTTCACAATATGACAATAAACAGCGTTACCTTACTTTTATTCAATTACAAGTGGTTTTACAGCTCAGAAATACCTAAAAAACAGACTGAGTGGGGTTGCCTCGCCACAGATGAGACGTGTAACTTGGTCTAGTTTGGTTTCAGTGAAGATAGAAAGGTTTAATATCATACGGTGAAATATTCTAGACAAAGCAATAACATCTCCATGGAGAAAAACATTTGATGGACCCTCCACCACAAAGGTTACACAATGAACCTTTAAGACAATTTTATTACGTATTTCAATTGCCTTCAATATGTATTTCACAGATCATTTTGCAATAAAAAGCCACACAAAGCATGCATCACTTCTAATTACAGTGTTTTACAAGACAAGTTCACTGCTGTGTGTACTATACTTAATAACTCACTCTCATTAACAATCAGAGCGAGGCTTATTACTGCCATATAATATATTTTATATCTATTACACATGCCACTATAAAAGGGCTTTATTGCTCTTGAGGTTAGACACGTGCTAGTCTTTAAGGAGTGCGCTGAGACAGTTGGTGGAAAAGCTGTAAACTTGATGCTTTATTTGTGTTATTGTCTAAGTGCTTTTATAGTGTTACATTCCTTAAGATGCAAAACATAGAAAGTACGGATTCTATTCTGTGCAGCTGAGTAGGCGAGGTTTTTTTTAGAATAACAGATAAAAATAATGACTTGGATTTGTATAGCACCTTTCACAAAACTCAAGGCGGTTTACAATGAGGAGACCTATAAGTGCTTTTTAATGTAGAGTCTTTTAGATAATCTGCACTACGCCTTGTTATATTCTTAATAAGGACTGTTAAGGAATTTAGACAATGAAACTATCATTTGTAATTAGACTTGCTGGTTGTATTTTCACATAACACCACTAATGCTGCCTGTGTTACTGCAGTTTGATAGTGTGCCAGCTTTGGCCTGATAGATGAAGACCAGAGAGCACAGGTGAGTCTGGACAAAAGCCAGGTGAGGGAGGGGAGAGAAGGGAACAGGTTTCACATCTGCCATTTACCGGTGAAAAAAAATCAAATGAACTTACAGATGGTAGCTTCAAGAGGTCAAGAAAACAAACACTGGATTAAAGTCATTAGGGATGCACCGATAAAGCTTTTTCAGTTCTTAAGGGATCAAATGACATCCAAATCTTACGGTACAATATTTTCATGATATCCATCTCACAGTACGATATTTATTGTGATATTTTGTGGAGGCTAACAAAATTGTGATTATGCTACTTTTTCCTCTTAAAATTAAAAAAAAGAACTAAGATTTAAAAGTTCTTAGAATGGTTATTTCTCCATGTAGTTTGCACCAAAACGAAGCAAAGGATCATGGTCGATGTAGTTCCCTCTGTTTTTTTAGCTGTTGCTGCACCATAACAATGAATTTAACCAAAGAAAGTTGTGATTTGATATATTGTGATGGTCCACGATATTACTGAAAGACTTTTGATGATACGATATCACAATATTTGGGTTATTGTGACACCCCTCAGTTCTGATGCTGACTGAATACTTTGACGTCAAGTATCTGCCAGTGCCCGATATTAACCGATATCAGTGTAGGGGCAGAAAATTTCACTTATTTCCTTAAAACACAGTCAACTTATTACAAAAGAGATCCAATTGTGTTATGCAACTCTTATTTATCCTTACATCACTACTGAACAGCTTTGTATGAATAAAACCAAATAAAGGCCCAACCAGGATATCGACTGAACCGATATCATGGAACAGATACCAGCATTATATTATATTTTCGTATATCTTAATTAAAAAAAATACATATTAGCTTTCATTTAATTTTCCACCAACAACTGCAAGATTTAACTTTGCTGCCAGAACTAAAACTAACTCCAGGAGAAAATCTCCTGAAAGCACTTGAACACAATGCAATCAATACACAAATGATTAAAACCCTGAAAATTACATTTGTGCACACTTTTATCATTCCAGACAGGCTTTGGCCCATAATATCTAATCTCCCTTTTCCCCCAAACGTACCAGTGTCTAATTATCCACTGAAGGCTGAGTAAGCAGTGAGGACAGTGCAATGTGCTAAGGGAAATATCAACAGAAGGTTCATAATGCAGGATTTAACTATAGCCAGATTTAGACCCAAAGCGACGCCCTATACACTCTTTATCTTTCAAAGTTGCTAGAAAACAATCAGGACAGAAGTTATGGCCAAAGAACAAGAGAACAGACCCGGGACCTCTGAGCTTTGATTCTCACATTGAATAAACGCGCTGACATAAGGACTCCTCTTAAGCCTGGAAATGAGTGGGAGGAGGGATTGGGCATACATCCAGACAAGACGGTCTAAATAAACAAGTTTAGTGGAGATACAAAATGTCAAGGTCTACATTGTAAAACAAACACCATGCGCTTATGTGCTTGGCTGCCAGTTTCAATTTATAAGCATGCTGCAGTGTTGTATGCTTACCAAAAACATACCTGGATTATGTTTAGTCAGTTCTGTAAGTCTGCGTGTTTAGTTCGTCTCCGTCTCCAGACGTCAAAGCTCCTGCCACTCCTGTACTGACCTTATCTGGCCCTGCCTACTTTTGCCTCTAAATGCTACTAACTCGCTTTTTCTTTGTGGTGGCACTTCCGGTTAAGCTGAAATCCTTTTCATTTAGATGGAAAATCTGAGAAAAGTTCCGCCGCTAAAATACGATATAAAGCAGATTGGTTTGTGTAAAAATAATACAACCCGAATGATGATGATGCCGCCCACAGCAACTTCTGGAATAAATCAGCAAATAGTAATCCATTAAACTCCTCTGTGTTTTTATAGTCCATAAATCTTCAGTTTATGTGTTCTGATCCTGTGAATGTAAAATTACACAAACTGCGCAACATAGCATTTTGCACCATAGCTACCACTGTTTTTACTGTCATACCATTCAAAATATTTCACTTTTTGACTCTCTAGCCGATGCATTTCTTGTGCCTTCTGCTGGAGTTTTTTTCATAGACATATTTCATGCCAGCTAAGGCTTTGAGGTATTTTAAGTTATACTACTGTAACTTTGAAGGTTCTTAAGCTGAATATTGTTTAATTGCCTTAATAGACCATAATACCAGCCATGTAACCAAAGTACTATTTTGAATTAAATCTAGCACAGAGGATTCTACCTACTTCCCACTCCACACAGCAGATTGATGGAGCCTTTAAGAGCTACTTAACCAGTTTAAACATGTGCTGCAGCCCTAAGTGCATACAACATGTCTACCGCACTCCAAAAGTGCCACTATTAGCCACTCTCTTTCAAATAAAGGCAATACTGGTGCCTATTCAAGTGACCAGTGCAGATTCTTACGCTCCCATGGAAAACACACTTCTTTATTCTTTCATAGCAGAGTCCTCTCCGCCTTCGCAGCTGGCCTCTATCTGGCCTAAGGTGTTTTAAACAGCTGAACAAAGCACATATTCAGAGCACTAAGATCAAACAAAGCAAAACCCCAGACTAAGAAGAAGGAACACAGGCGGGTGGGAAAATCAAAATGTGTCCTGTGATATTTCAGCTGTTTCAAGTTCGGAAGACTTCTTTCTCTGGCAAAAAGGGAGTTTGTGGGAAAAGTAAAGGTGTAATATGGAACTTTTCTGGTGGAGGGTGTGTCATGTTTTGTATCCATGTAGCGTTGACTAGGATATTCTAAAGTATGGCATTTAAAGGTCCTATATTACACAAAATGGAGCTTTAAGACATGGTATGATGCTGTTAGCTCACCAAAAACATACCTTGAGTTGTTGTTTTTTTGTTTCATTCACACTTTTGAGTAACCTTTTATTATTGGTCTGTCTAAATTTCCAAAGCTCAAAATAGTTTGTTTCCCAAGTGGTAGTTTTCAAGTTAAAGGGACAGTTCAGAATTTTGGACATAGGACCTCATTTCCAAGTGAGCCAGGAGTGTTGGAGACATGTGGAGACACTTTCGTAAAAATTCCACCCAGTCCTTGTATTTACAGAGGTTGCTGGTGCTAGGCTGGTGCATGTCAATGGCCATAGTTAACCTGCCACTAAAAACATCTTATCCAAACGTCTTATCCAATCCAGAAAGCACCCGAAGCAAATCTATTATTATGCCAGACTGTCGATGTAAATGTCTGTGTTGATAGAATAATGTCTGAAATAAAACTAACCTTGAATTGTGAATCGTTGCATGTTGAGGGACTATTTTCTCATATATCAGACCGCCGCTGCCAAGCTTTCTATCAGGAAGCACAACTCGCTGCAGCTGCTCAGACATAAATCCTTCAAATGCAAGGTTGGTTTTACTTCTAAAATGATTCTATCGATACAGACATTCACATCGACAGTCTGGCGTTATAACTGGTTTGCTTCGGGTGCTTTGTGGATTGTGTAAGACTGTTTTTAGTGGCAGGCTAACTACGGCCATTGACATGCACTAGCCTAGTCCCAGTGACCTCAGCAAATACAAGAACTGAATGGAATATTTCAAAAAGTGTCTCCACAGGTCTCCAACACTTTGGCTCACTAGGAAATGAGGCCCTATGTCAAAAATTCCGAACAGTCCCTTTAACAGCTCCTTTTACCTTTAGTTCCATACAAATTGGTAATGAAATCATCCAAATAATTCTAGTGAAGGTGTATGGAGTTTAAAAACACAGTGGATGTGAATGAAACAAAACACAACTCCAGGTATGTGTGTGATGAAGAAACAACATCATAACATGGATCAAAAAATAGAGCAGTATGGGCCCTTTAGCTTCTCTTTCTCCATGGAGATACGCAATTGACACCATAAGGCCACGTTAGGACACTGCTCTCACAGTCAGAACTCAAATTACACATTTTAAAGCTGGTTTCTAGCATTAAAAACACTTGTAATGTGTGAATAAATGCATGATAGATTTAATATCATACTATTAAACATTCTGGGCAAAGCAATAACATCGTCATGGAAACAAGCAGATGAAACAGTTGCCAGAGAAGTTACATAGTGCACATAAGTCCAATTTCCAGATTTTACTAGTATGGCTAAATACGGCCAGTAATGGGTAGAGCATGTTCCCCATAACTAGAATATGCAGCTTACAGGTCCCGGCAGCTAAAATATTTGAGCTGAAGTCAAATTCAAAACTGCAATCTTGAATGGTATCATTGTCGGAGGTTTGCTTTCTCTGAGGCCTTCAATTTGTAAAAGAAATTGGACAACAAGCAAAAGCAAAATTGTGAGGTAAGGAGCAAGAAAACGAGAAATGTCCAAAGATGAGAGTGAAAAAATATATTAAAAGAAGATGCGATATGAGGTACAAGACTGTTTCCAGTTTCCTGTTGGTGTAATAAATTGCTTTTGGGCCATTTTTGTTTTTCTACAGTTCATCTTGCTTCTTTGATGACTTATTTGCTTTCAATCAGTCTTCAAAATTAACTTAGCTTAAACTTATCAGCAAGTAGTACTATTATAAAACTTCGTAATCAAAAACTAGTAACAGAAAAGTTTGTAGACCTGCACCCACTACATCTTGACCTTACCTGCAAGCATTTTTTGCGATTCTGTTCGTGTCATGTTCAAATGTTCCCTCTTGGAAAAAAATAGATTATCTTCAAGACTTCAGGGTTGCTTAGAGACCGCAGATACATCCGCACAAAGTGACTATTCCTCACAGCATGACTTCTGTGTGTGTGTGTATGAAAACTTGATAATTATCTAAGCACGGACCTATCATACTAACTTCTTAATTAACTGTCACAAGAAATGGACACAATGTCAACATATAATACAAAAATGTAGGTTATGTTTTCAACTTGTGCATCTGTTTTTGTCATTTAGGACATGATAATAAAATAAGATTCAAGGCAACTACTTAAGATTTTAAGTTGATATATCTAAAATACCAATAGTCCAGCCCTAGTCCAGCCTGGAGACTAGTGGACATGTTTGGATGTTGGATGTGTTTGTAAGCTCGTATATTACCGTTCTTCTCTGTTCTGGCCCACGCACACTCGTCCTCCATGCCGGGGGGCGGGGTTACTGCACGAGCGCTGCCGGACCTGAAAGCCGATCCCACAGCTGGTGCTACAGGGAGACCACGACGTCCAAGGAGTCCACGCACCGTTTCTATGGAGACACAAAGGCGTAATGTAGAGGGGGCATTACGACTTCACAAAAAATAGACTTTGACTATGTTATACCAAGACTCAGATAACCACAGACCTTGTACATACAGTATAAATGGACATAGTTCACCTGCTAGTTGTCACTTGCCAAATAGGAAGTGAGCATGAGGGTGCTTCAGGCTCCATCAACTCTGGCTCCAATTGACTTTACACTGAAAAACTGTCACCCCCTCTCTGCAACTGCTGCAGTGAGCCTCGTCACTTTGGTATTTAAATGTTTGTATGAACCTGCTCTACATGATCCTGGTGTTTTTCTTTAACTAATTTGTGTTTAAATAAATTCCTTCTCCTAATAGGAAACTTGGTTCCAGATTTGCTTGTATAACCGCTAGCATCGTGAGTTTCATTTGACTTTGACTGGAGCTGAACATGATGGGTGACTTCACAATTCCTTAGTCCACTTCTTCATACAGTCTGTGGATAACCTAGATGAAAAATTCTATGTTCATCAGTATAGTGTAAATCAGTCAGTAGTTCTCAGCTGATCAAACTGTAGTGTAACTGTATTCTAAATGTCACACTTGTATGTATTTATTTAAACTGGGAGCCATTAAAGAGAAATTCATACCATTATTGTGCTGGGATTATCTTCAGTCCTGACCCAACTAACACTTGGATTCATTTGTGCCACAGATTGGCAGCCTCACTTCCTTCAGACTACCCCAAGACAGCTGAGACAAAAGCTTGATCTTGCCAGAAACCTGTCAGATATCATCAACATGCACCGATGTGCCATGAATTGTTAATAGTGAGTGTTAAATCTGTAATTTAGCAAGAGCAGGAATGGGGTGAAAACACAGCCAATCAACACTTCCCAAAACTCGGAAGCACTAAATATAAAACATGTGGAAAATGAGTACACAGTGCCCTGTAATGAGGAGGTGTGATGAAAGAGAAAAAAAAAAACGCACCCCAGGAGACTCCACACAGGAAATGAAGTGTGGTCTGTGGGAATTCACCTGTTGATGTGTTTACCTGGAGCAGTTGGCCACCTCCACACTGATGCCGTGGCACTGCTGCCCGCCGCACTGGGGGGCGGGGCTATCGCAGGCTCTGGTCCGGCACAGACACGCCCCTGCGCTCCCTCCTCCATCGCTATGACTACACATGGACCAACTGGACCAGGAACCAAAACCGCCATCCACTGTCACGTTACGCACCTGAGAACAGCAAAGAGGTAAAAGGTTCAGAAAAATAAACACATTTTTTACAATAGAGCAGGCAGAACATGCAGTGTAGTGCAATCTCTGACCACAATCATTCAGGAGATGAAAGCGTAAAATTTGGTACAGAGATTGCCCATTTGTGCCACTTGTAATTTCAACATGGTAACTATTTCACCAAAGATGTTTCCAAATGATTCCAACACTGCAGTTCTGATTGGAAGTATGCAAATCATTTTCTGTTTCAAGTATAAGACAGAGAGGACTTAAAGCAGACTTATTATGCAAAATTGACTTTTCAGAGCTTTTAACCATGTTATAGTTGTTTGCCCTCACCATTTACTCACCTGGAGCTCTATTTGGAGTTATTCATGCATGTTTGAGCAATCTTTAATCGCTTATTTTCAAGAAGCCGTTTTGCTGATCAATCCCTGTTTTGACCATCACCGGCATACGGCCACTGCTCTCTACTACTTCATTCTCCAATTTTATTCTCTTAATCGGTGATATGCATTGGATTTGGCACCACTGCGTAGTCATTTTGGTACACACAGCTTGCTAGTGTGATCTGTAGGTATTCATGAGAGAACTTTATGCAGCTCTCATTGAGCATAGGTTTTCTAACATGGAAATCAGCAAACTGGCTTCTTTCATCATGTCGTTTTAGATGAATATTACAATTTAAAATGTCCAAATTATAACGTAATGACCCATGGGTGTCATAGATTATAGCTACGTAGCAGACACTAGTACAATAGGTCTTCTTTAATATGAGACAGCGATAGAGACATATAAAAGTTTGACCTATCATAGGCTCACTAAACTAGCACTTTAAAAAGGTAACAAAAACATAATTTGAAGTAAGAATGAAGATATAAAAACAGACAGGTGTATGGTTTTGAGTTCCAAATCCCCACAGTGAGCTACACAATATTTTGAGGATAATGGATTTCCTGGAAAGCACTCACTACAACTTAGGTATTTGTGGGTTTGGGAAACAAAGCCCATGTGGCAGCTTCCAAAATCAATTTCCCTCAAACAGATGCAAAAATAGCCACATTATGAGCCTCTACGCACATCCCAAACTGCTCAGTCACCAGGACACAGCGCGGCATAAACACAAGGAAGATGTATGAGGAAGGGCTGTGGATACGATCTGACAGAAAAAGAGTCTCCCAGAAAATGAATGCTGTGAATCGGCGCATTGAAATCACAGAAATATGAGGAAATAAAAAGCGCTGCATAAATAGACATTTGAAGAGAAACAGAATGCAGCGGGACAGTTTGGATATTACTCGAGAAGTCCAGGGCACCGAGGCTAAATACAAAAAGGCACCACAGATGATATGAGAACGCTAGCTGCTACTTTCCAAGAAGCCATTTGGAACAGAGAAAAAGAAAAAAAAAACACTTTGAATGAAAAGACATCAGCTGTTTTGTAGGAAGACGAAATAACGCCTGTCCTTATTGGTAATTGAAAGCTGCGATCCTCGATTGGGAATGCTTGGCAAAGGCGGCCAATTTTGGATAAATGAGTTGGCATGGGAGCAAGAAAAAGCCAATATTACATCTGTTGCACCTATCACTTACAGATGGGGCAATAAGTGATATGGCAGCATCCAATCAGATAATACTCCCTGAGAGCATTAGCTTTTAATCAGTGCACCCTCTTTTAATTCTGCAGACATTTACAGGAACCAACGGCATGGTGATTTGGTAGATATTTTATGCCAGATGCCCTTCCTATCGGAACAGATTGGCAATGTACAAGTTTGAAAAGCTTTGCGACCTCTGTAGAACATGTCAAACCCCAGTGTACTAGTCCCCATGAGGGCGTTTTATAACAAGACATGAGAATGAATGCATTCACTTTTATACAACTTAGTGCAAAAGCCCAGACTGGCCTCCATTCATTTTAACTTTGAGTATGAATAACAGATTTGTAAAGCTTTCAACCTGACATTGACCTGTACTGACGAACATTCTGATTTTGTCTGGATTTACTGGAGTCTATTGTAAAAGCATTTTAGTCACATAGGTTTTTATAGAGAAACTGAATGTTCCTCAATCAATGTATAAAACCTTGAAATGGTTAGGTCTGTGATACAGACGTTTTTCAAACAGCGGACGGTGCTATGAGCATAAATGTCTTTATTAATTATATGGAGGCAAAAGTCAAAGCAACAATATCTGATCTTCCACCTCCTGAGACACTTCCTCCAGCTCCCCCAAAGGAACATAAAGATGATTGTGATGCAGTATAGATACAGTCTTGACCTACAGGTCAGCTTTTGTTCTTCAATTATATGATACTTTTTTTTTTTTTGTTCTAACACAACCTTGTCTTTGTACTGACAGAGCACATTAAGGCTTGATTAAATAGAGGGCTGTAAAATCATTCATTACAGTGTTGCTTAAAGCAGGAGTTATTTAAATGTACTTAAGCTAATAGACACAAAGGATAAATGAATAAACATGTTGGGTATTAGCCATTTCACTGGGGAATCACTACATATGCACACATTTACATGCAAACATATGGGCCTGACATGGCCATGCATACAGATTTGTACATCTTAATGGAAACAGCATGGGCCCTCTCCCAGCCACAGCTCTGCTAACAGATGCCACTGGACGCTTGGCCACTCCATTGCTAAATATTCCTCTGAAACTATAAAGCCACATGAAAAGACTGCAAACTAAGCCTACTCCAATTACCACACCATGTACTATCAATGTTAATGTCAAAATTGGACAACATGCTCCAAATTCCTGTCTAACTAAAGAGGCACTCTGAACAGTCACTAATACCACTGTTAGTGGTGTTAACTCTTCAGAACGCTGCATATAAAAGGAAGCTGAAACCACGAATAGGTGGAGCGTTACCGAGTGTATTTTGGGTTGATGAGATAAACCCTGTGCCCAAAAGAAACCCACAAAGACACAGAGAAACATGTAAACTCAGCACATAAAGGCTGGACCAGCTCTGGAGTTAATTTCAGGAAATTTGTACTGTAAGGCGAGAATGTTGGCCACTCAGCCACCGTGCCACCACCAAGATGTTTTTGCTGCTACAGTTACATACTTTGCCATCAAGTAAAACAAAATCAAGATAAACATCTTCTGCAATTTCAGATTCTAAAAAAAAATCTATCTTTCTGTTATAAGCTCAGCAAAAAATGATAAGGCTACATGTTAATAAAGAGGGAAGCACAGTTGATGACTGCATATCAGCTTTCAGATCACTCCATCCCTGTGTACAGACTGTTCTTTAAAGTCAACAGGCTTAGTCCCTAGACACTCTTCTTTGGCAACACTATATTCGATCTTTGGTTTATAGCAACGCTGGCTTACAGAAGTAAGACGAGAATACAGAATAGGACAGTGCCCCCATAAGAAGAACCAAGATGTGTGTTGAAAGAAAAAAGATTCCTAAGATATATAACAGCACTTTCTATTAGCTTTAAAAGTCAAGATAGAGCTCGCAAACAAGTAAATGGGCCACAATAAATTTATCGTAGATTAGAAGTATTGCAATAGCACTTACAGGGCACTTGGAAATGCTCTGCTCCCATTGGCTCATGCGGACACTCTCTTCCAGGGTGGTACATTTCTTCAGTAGCATGTCCCAGCCGCAATAGGGGTCCCTGGCACCCACACACGCTCTGCAATAAGATGAGGAGACAGAAGATTTAATGAGCTTTTAACATCCTGTCATGATACGAACCGAAATGAATTAAACAAGAGATTACTACACCAAAACAGATGAGAGTTTGGATAGAAAAAAAGTTAGCTGATAAGAAGGTGGAATGACTGATGAATGTGAGGAGGAAATGAGAGAGATAAGTTGGAGAAGTAGAGAAAATAGAACTGGTACAAAAGGGAGGATTGTGATGAGGAAAAGAGAAGCCATTTTAGGACATGCATAACTAGGGAGGCTGTCCAACAAGATCATATCAAAAAGTGTATAACAGCTACAATGAAGTGTTTTACATCTCATAACAACCTGTTCACCCAAATTGAAAAAGGACATTGGTATTTTCAATGGCTGTGACCGACTTGGATGTTAGCAATTACTGATTTACTGTTTTTAATTTAGCCTTGGATAAAGGTTAGAGGGAGACAGTAAGGGAGGAGAAGTAGAGGGCATGTTATATTTTCTACCAGAGTTCCATTTTATACTCTCTGCAAACATAATTCTTGTCATTGGAAAGTACAACAACATTTAGACTTAGACAAATTGTATTGATCCACAAGGGAAATGATTTGGACACAGTAGCTCACACATCACAATAAATTATAATAACAGAGAGCAAAAACATAAATGGTCATAATAAATTCAAAATAAGCAGCAAAAATAGAAAGATATTGATGTGACTAATATTTAAAGGTACAATATACAACTTTCAGGTGGAAGGTTTATCTATGGTTTTGTCTGGAATGTTCCACAGAATGGCATTAAAATCCATGGGGACAAGAAAGAGACACCACTTGGTCAAGTTACAGGTCAGATCTGTGGAGAGGCGAATCCTGGATGGGGGCAAGAGACAGATTTTTATACTGATTCTGTTGTAATTTGCGAGTGAAAGTACAAATACTGGACCTGATCATTTCTACTGGGGACAAGACCCAAGAACTTGCTGTATTAAGACAAAAATAAACAGTTAAACATCATAAATTTTACCTGCCGCCATTAGTAATAAAATGTTGTGATGTGCTCTGACAGTCAGCTATTTTTTTGCAGTAATAGAACTGTGTATGTAACTAAATGAATGCAAATAGAAACATTTAATGCCATACAGTGAAATATTCCAAGCAAAGCAATTACATCTCCAGTTACACAATATCCCTTTGAAGAAGATGTGATTATTTTACAGTTGAGTATTGGTGCTTGCATTAAACCCACTGCTGCATTTGAAAAGCTTGCTCATTTTTAGTCTAGTCTAGTGTTTCAAATGGAAGATGTATTAAGGACAAACAGAGATTATTTCTTATTCTCGTCCCTCCAACAACTCCCTGAAGCTAAATCGTCGTGTCTCTGTTTACAGAGTAACACAAATTCGTATTGTTACTGTCTTATGCAAATGCAAGACAGCAGTAGTGGCAGCTCAGTGACACATCACTCGTATCCTGACTCCAGCCTGGCCTCACATGCCCCCAGCCAAACGTAAACAAAAGTTATGAGTATCATCCATAACAATGAACTGACGGGGGCTACAATGGTGCCAATGCAAGGACGCAGGTCGCATGCATCAGGCCACTGAGGAGTGCAGAGACAGGGCGAGTGACGTGATGTCTGCTGGGGGGAGGGGCAGGAGGAGGGGGAGAGTTATGGGGCACTTCTGTTGGGACAAGGTGACGTGTAGCATAATGAGAGGAGAAGAGGATACCAGCTCTCAAAGGGTTGTGGGGGCTTTAATCATTGTGCACAGTCTAGTAAGAGGAAATACGATCCATATTCAGCTAAAGGCGAAGATCAGAGGTGGAATGTTTTAGAAGATGCAATGTGTAGGTTTTCTGGTGGATGGTTTGGTATCTCCTTGTCTCCTGGCCATGTTACTACTTTGCATATGTTTCACTGTCTGACATTTAAATCATACATTTTTTTCAATTAAATGTGTTTTTATTGCTCAAAAATGAACAAAAGACATAGCTTAGTGGTATCATCTGCTTGTCTCCGTGCAGATAGAAAATTAAAACCACACTTTGGAACATTCTCACGGACAGGTTTTATGGCGTACTATGGAACATTCTTGGCAGAGAAATGAAAAATCTATGAGAAGCGTGGTGGATCCTACATCAGAGAAGTTATTGTGTGCCTTTAAAGTACAATTTTAATGGGCTAAAATTAGAAAAACGAGCTAAATCTAAGACCAATAAAATTCCTTAACTAAGCTCAAACCAGATTAAACCAGAAGGCTGTCTCACAAAAGTAGCTAACTCCATATCCCTGAGTTATTTGATTCTGGCTTTCTTTGTTGTCAGTTTCATAAAAGAGGCTCATCTGAGGAGCAGACGTGCTCTGAGAAAACCCTGAGTGAAGTTTAAGGAATGGACTAAACCTGAATGAATTAGTTTAAGGATGGTGCAGCTGTCATCAAGAGACTAAAATATGTTTACTGGTTTACTGATTTACTTGACTTATTGTTTTTAATTCAGGCACAGAAGCCCCTTTCACGTCACCCAGTCTCATCCAGAACCAAATCTAAAGATGTGGAAAGGAGAAGCAGCTGCTGCACGCACAAGAGACGGCTAAATTTTTACTGTAGCCTATAGAGCTGCAGAGTCTGGAACACATTATAGTGGAGCTGAATTAGTGGGAGAAGAGGTGCGTGAACAAAGGTGCAAGCCCAGTGGACCCCGGTCTCCACTGTCTGGACTTTAAGGACAAGAGACAGACGTGTGAAAACCCCATTTGTTGGACAGGGTAAGTGAAGTGTAGCGGTGACTGCCTTCAAAACAACATAATTATCAGGCAATTTTAACTTGAATCTTGCACTTTACATCACTTTGAATGCACTGTTGTAGCAGATAATTTACACCTGCCTTTCCAACATGTTAAATATGCACAAAGTTTTTCCTCTCGTCGTGTTGATAAATCAATCTGCACCCGCTAAACAACTTCATCTGCATTTTCTCCTCTTCCATCTTTTTTCACTTTTTGTCCAAAACACAGACATAGAAATCTGTCTTTGATATGGTTTAAAACATCCAACTATTAAACCACATTTAAACCAGGACATAACCAAACTAAACCTGGACTGGAGTGATCTAACCCTGAGAAAAGAAAGTCCATACATCAGCTTTCACCAGTGTTCCCTGCACTCTACAAGAACAACAGAACAAACCTGTAATAACTCAAATGTGACGCTTCAAAGAGTGGCCTTCGATAACTCCTCCTCCCTTTTGCTTTGTTTTTATTTCCACGGCCAGAACAGAGCAGAGGATGATGAAGCCATAACAAGCGTGGCGTATTTCTCGGTGAACAGATGTAAGCCCCAGCCCTAACTCTTCCGATAAGGCCTTATTGTGCATGAGATAACCACGGCAGGTGTGATTCCTATTCTCGCCTGTCTGTGATGGATGGCCACTCAATCTGGTGCTGAATCTTCACGCCTCCATCGCGCTCCGTCTTCTTCTGCCAATATTTATGCCTTTGACGGAAGCATATTCTACAGCAGACAGAAGCCCGATAAATCTGATATATAAACAGGCAATAGTGCGGCAGAGAATGGTGGGTCAATGGCAATAAGAGGCGAGGAGGACAGCCTGATTTACGGGGACAAGAGGTAAAGGGGTCTTCCATAATCTGGGGCTGTTAGAAGTGCAGGGGTGCAAATTTAGGATGGGAAAAATGGAATGAATCAAACATGGTGTTGAATCAATAAATAAGATAAATATTTTAGTAACATAATAGATAGGAAATCAAACAAAAATTAACCTCAAAGAAAAAGTAAGTTTGGAAATGGAGTACTTCTTGTTTAAAGTCCAGTCTTTGTCACATCAAAGTTTGGATTTAACCCATAAATTAATCTGGACCAGGAATAAACCAAGTACTAGAACAGGACTGGACTAAAGCTGTATTTGGAGTGATACTAAAACTAATGACCAAAAAGAAAAAAAAGGGTGGCCCTTAAAAGCACCCTTACAAAACTTTTTTTAATGTTCTAGTCATATCTTTTAGTTTCACTTTTTTGTCAATTACGAGTCAATGAGACTGCTTCACTGTCCACTGTTAAATGTTTTTTTTTGTGTTACATACGTAGTTTTAGGAGAAAAATCTAAAAATGCTACAGACAGCAGTCATGTTACACTGGATGTCCAAAACAATACTGCCCCTGGCCAGTTGCCCTAGAGACATTGGTCAAATAGACCTTTTTCACAACAGCCGGAAATGCCGTGATGTAGGGTAAACATCACTTACGTTAATGCTTTTCTATGGCAAAATATCTGTGGAAATGTCTTGTGCATTTTCCACCAGCTTCATAAATCTGCCCCGTCACTAAATCTTCAACCAACAAGGTCGACAAAGGACATATTCTGTCCATGAAGAATTTATCCACAACTATGAAGATTAGAAAGATGAAAACGTAAAGGCTAACAGCTACTTGCATTAGTGAACTACTCCTGAGCAAAACTAATGTTATGGTCATGAATAAAACATAAGTAACTTGTTAACTCAGACTGATTCTACAATTAAAGTTAGATTTGTGCATGTAATCTGTGAAACTCTGTAGCATTCGATCTGCACAAATCTCTCTGTCTATGATAATATCTACATCATGAAATCAATTTTTAACTTTAATTGTAGAATAAGTCTGAGTTAACAAGTTACTTATTAATAAATTACTTAAGTTTTATTCATGACCATAACATTAGTTTTACTCAGGAGTAGTTCACTAATGCTAATCGTCGCTAGCCTTTACGTTTTTGTCTTTCTTATCTTGATAGTTGTGGATAAATTCTTCATAGACAGAATATGTCCTTTGTCGACCTTGTTGGATAAAGATTTGAGGGGGCAGATTTATGAAGCTGGTGGAAAATATGCAAGACATTTCCACAGATATTTTGCCATAGAAAAGCATTGACGTAAGTGATGTTTACCCTATATCACGGCACTTCCGGACGTTGTGAAAAAGGTCTAAACAGAGGCCATATTTTCCTACAGGGACAATTTAAGTGTACCATAACCTTAACTGGTCTCATACAGTGAATAGTGTGGGCAAAATGAGTGCCACCTACTTAAAGTGTATGTTATAGTCCAAGTACTCACTCTCGATTCTTGTGGTAGCTGCATCTCTTGAGTGGGATCTTGATGACCTGGTCGCGTACACCCACATACAGCTCACTGCGACTGTGCAGGATCAGCAGGCTCCGGATCACCTGCCTCTTCCGGGGCGGGAACAACTCAATCTCCTCCAACAGGCAGCTGCCCGTCGACTGGTTCAGAGGAGAGAGCACTTTCCGTATTGTTCCATAATCTAAAAACAGACAGTAAATTCCAGATATAGGATTAACAAAAGTATAGAATAAGTGGAAACATTATTGCAGTGTATCTAAATGAAAAAAAAAACAGGCTTACTTATTTCATTATCATGTAAGACTCTCCATAAAACAAAGAAAATGGCATGGCAACTAAATACATATATTTAATGTCCTACTTTTACTTTTCTAACACATATTTTCGTCCAAGTAAAACCTCTTCTTCCAAGAAAAAGCTCCTCTAAAAGAGCCAAGTGTTGAAAAAAATGTCATTGTGAATACTCCTTGACCTTTTATTTTTAAATCCCCATGTAAGGCAGAGGCCCCCGTGGGAATTGGTTATAGGTGCAGCTTTCCTTCCTGAAGTGCTTAAACAAACATAATCCATTACACATGTGTCCCTCGGGTGCTGAAAAAGTAATTAGGTGACGTGCAATGCCAGGGGAAAAGGGTGAATTGCTAATGCAGTTGAAAGTTTGCTGCAAACGAGAAGGTCGGGGAAGTACGGTAATGCTGATCTGCTCTACTCAGTATAGTTCATCATGGGAGCGTCAAGATTCAGCAGAGGTTAATGGGGACATGTTTTATTTTACAAGCAGACATAACGTAACATATAACCTGTGTGTCGCATATTAGTCATTAAAAAGTTCAATGGACTTTTACCTTTTTACAAATTCATCTGCATCAAAAATAACCACTTTTCGCATTCTACATTGTACTAGATAACAACCGCACTACCATTTTGATTCTTTGCTGTGACACGACGCTGGGGGGTTCTACATGTATCTCTATTGCTGGAATGTTCAGAAGTTACCATGGAGACACAATGCACACAATAACAAACACAGACAAAAGCGTTTTACAATTGTCTGAAAACAAGAGAATAAATACAAACTAGATTTAAACAACACATTTTCTGGAGCCTGTGATCAATACAAGTGTTCATGTTCTTGTTTAGGTGTTTCATTTTCAACTTGTTTACCAGCACAAATCATCTCACCTGTTGTAGTTCTAACCAAACCAGATCTTTATGGTACAATATTGTTAAAATAAAGCTCAGGTTAAAGTCTAATTTTAGTAACAGAGCTTCTAACAGATTAGTGCTTTCAGTTAGCTTCACAGCCCAAGGAATGTTGATGACTGCAGCTGCAACAGATCAATAGAAGCAATAGTTGGTAATGCATTCATGTTTGCTAGTATCTCCAGACCTGTATTTGAAACAGCAATCTTCTCGTTTAGGGGTAAGGGCTAGATCATTAATCCACAAAGCCTGATGCTGTATTTCACCCAATGTTACACAATTCGCTCTGAATTCAAAGCCCCTCGGTTGCAATACTTAAAGGTTCTATATACTATGCATTATTCATGAATTTTAAACTACTTTGTACATCTTAGTCTTTGTATTTCCTCCAGTATAAGAAATAAGCATGTCTATTATTTCATGCCTCCAGGCCATACTTGTCATGGTGTCTGTAATAAATGCCAGTAGAGGGCGCTGCAGGGAAATTGGAAGACTTTTGTATAAAGTTTTAAACAATGGCAACTACTGGTGCAAATACTAAACTGCTGAATAAAGGCATTTGAAGACTAGCTCACAGCCTGTGTCTGGGACTGGACTATTAAAACATGGATGAGCTTAATAAAATTGACTTTGGCAGTGTCCGAATGTCCACCCTTGTCCCTAACCCCTCTTTCACAATATAGGCCCGCACACATTAGCGCATTATATAGTGCACTCGTTCAAAGAGAGATTTGGACACGCAGCTCACTACATTCGGGTCACGTGACTCTTGCGTCTAGATGAAAAAAGTCAGCTAAATGTAAAACATAAAACTTGATTTCTTCATACATAATGATCAGATCAGACTGACACAAGTGTTAACTCGACTAATAAAAAATATACAAGTTTTTGTCACACTGGATTATTTGCTGGATATTGATTATGTGGAAATTATCAATCAAACAGCTGCAGGTAAGGCAAGTGGCTAACACGAGCACAGCTAACACCATAACGGTTTATTTAGTGTTTATTTAGTGTTTTATTCAGAATCTGGGATCAACAGTGCCATAAACCAGCTCTTCTATCTATGTGACCACCGAGGCCCACTACTTTTCAAGTTGCACTGTATGAAATTTTGAGTGCACTGGTGCTTTTTCGCTAAATGGACATTTGGACACCCCTAAAAATGGCGTGACTTCCTAGATAGTGCCCTGAGTAGAGAATAATGTGGACATTTGGACACGTGAAAGCAAGTACAGTGAAGTGGGCGGAGATAGGAGGTCGGTGAAAACAAAAACTCAAGTGTCAAATGCAGGACAATTCAGGATGACTCAAACATGCATGGATCAATTGAAATACAACTTTGAGTACACTAATGATGAGGGAACACATGATGAGGTTATAAAAGTTGTTTTTACACAATATGTCCCCAGTAAATGTATGCAGAAATAACTAAGCCCTCAGTATGTTTTTGATGAGGAAATTAAAACATGATTAAAAGCTCAAAAAAGTTTAAGCTGCCCTTAAAAGCCCTATAAAATATTATAGTGCCAAGAAAAGAAAACATGGAGTTATCCCAATTCAAAATGTTAAAATGTCAGCAACCTGTGCAAAATTTCTGTCATTTTTAGTTTCTATTAAGATATCCATTTCTCTACAGCAGCCGCAACGATCTGGATGTGCGTAAGTGTTAATAATACATGTGATTAGGTACAGTGAGTCCACTCGGGGCACAGTCTTGGCACAGCATCTGATCTTTTCATTAGCGTTCTCTCTGTGTCTGGGGAGCGCCGTATGTGGGCAGCTTCATTCTAGCGTCGCATTGATCACAGCCCCATGCAAACAATGAAAGGTTTTTAAACAGAAAATGCCACGCAGAGCACAGCTGAACCACAACGCCTTTGTCTCAGAGAGAGATCCTAAAATAACAGCAGCAGATACAAGGGAAGATGATGTTGACATTTCCCAGTAGTTGCATGGTACATTAGTGAAGTGGGTCATCCGCATACATAAGTCCTATATAGTGTGTTACATCAGAGCTCTTGTCTAGTGTCTACGGCCTTCCCCGGCACTTTGTTGTCACACTTTAGTGATCAAAAGAACAAGTGATAGGAAGGAGGGCCAGTGCAGTTAACAATCTGTGAGGCTGCGGGAGAGGTGGAGGAGGATAATCTACAGTAAAGGTATGCTGATGTTTCTCAATTAGGAGTAAAACGACTTAACTATTAAGGCAATTGTACTAATACTTGTAGTGCTGAACTTGTATCAAACCAAGCGGTAAATGGTCACATTTTTATATAGCGCTTTTCCACCTTCTAGGCACACAAAGCGTTTTACATCAAGGAACCACTCACTCACACATTCACACATCAGTGTATGCTGGGCGGATGTGGGTTAAGTGTCTTGCCCAAGGACACAATGACAGTATTCATTTGTGGGAGCTGGAATCACAGCTGTGGGTCAGTGGATCTGACCGCTCTACCAATGATGTTTATGTGAAGGGTGGATCAGAGGACGAAGCCTCTACCAACTGAGCTGCTGCCATGAACTGTACAGTGATCAAAACATGTGGTGGCTGAGTGGCTGGCACTAAAAAGGTTCTGGGTTCAACTTTTTGGCCACCTGGGTATTTCATTTTTTGCAGTTTGCAGTACAGACAGGTTGCCCCAGCACCATGGAAGGATGCAAATGCAGAGAACAAAGTACAACGACAACAAACTCAAATACTTCCACTACATATACTAGTACCTTTGTAACAATTATATATCTGTCACATATTGCTACTAATACACATTTACTATTCAACTGATTACCTTGCCATACCAAACACCATAAACAGTGCAGGTGCGTACTGTTAGTAAAGCAACTACACAGTCCATAGGAAAAAAAAATGACAGAGTTCCATATGTCTCTGTAGCAAGGCAACACAGAAACTCAATTTACAGACACACATATGCCTCTGTACTGTACGAGGTAACACTAAGTAAAGAAAAGACTGCAAGTATCTAGTTACTTTTCATGTCTGACCTGAGCATAAATAACCCAGCTGTCTGTGTCTGACACGTGACCGTGGCTCTTTGCGTGTTTACAACCAGTACTTGAGAGAGTAAGTGATATGTGGTATGCATGTTGGCATTTGTATGTATTATAACAGTGCATGTGGGGGACAGATGTAGATAAGCAGGCTCACACTCCAGTCGGGAGAAAAAGCTTTGATGCCTCCTCTGTAACTGCTGTCTTTTTCTCTCTTTGCTCTGGGGAGACACACACACCCACCTATGGCCAAGTTTGTGATGTGAAACAGCTTTCACCATGTCCAATCTCTATTACCAACCTACAATGAATATAAGATTGAATGAATAATGTATGGAATTATAAGGCCACTTGAGTTAAACGTGAAAGCACTATAACACTAAGGAATTGTTAGCATTATTAAAGAAGGTATATTTTACTTCTATGGGGCATTAATTGCTAACATATAACATATTTTGATCATTATGCTACCTTCTGTTGGTTTGGAAATGCTATATTTGCCAAAAACAACAGCTTTCTGGTTACATAGTCTTCTGGACTGAGTCTTAGACAAGAAGTGTGGCGTCGTATACCTAACCAAGAGGAGGGTTCGAATAGTGCCTGTGAGAGACTGCAGGATCACTCAAACATGCACCAGCGATTTAGAAAATCACTACAGGCATGCTCTTGATGAGGGAACAACGTGGAAAAAAAAAAAAAAAGTTGATTTACCATAATACCTTTTTTAATCAAAACTGCAGCACTTAGCATTGGATAAATAAAAGAAAGAAAAAAGAAAAACAACTTTTCTGGTGCATGGGCCTCCATGGAGACTTTAGTGCCTAGAATGTTCCCAAATGGTATTTTATTTATCGATCTTGCACTTTCAATTACAGGTGTTTTTACTGCTAAATAAACACACTGAAGAAATGTATTCTCATGGTGAGCAGGGTCGCCTCTCCAAAGATCTGACCTGTAACTTGACCCGATAACGCCATCTGCTTATTTACTTGGAAATAAATGTTTTTTTTCCCCTCCTTAAACTGCACCTTAATGTGGAGGGGTTTGAGTCCCTGAATGATACCTGGAGCTATGTTGTGGGGGGCTTCATGCTGCTGGTAGGATCACTCAAGACAAACCCTGGGGGACGGGTTAAGCCATTATCATGAGTAACACAGCAAGGTCAGTTACGTCGACCGGACTGCCGTTACTGCCCCACAGTACAGCCCGATGGAGTGACGTAGGGTTGTCCTGCTGTAGAAACACCACCTGAAGGAGGATCCATAAGGGGCCAGTGCAGAGAGATTTGGATCTCGAAAACTGGATCTCTGGACCTGGAAATTGGCTCTGGGGACATGGAATGTGCTTGTCACAGTTTGTCCATAACAAACATCATGTTCGAGCATAAGGGTGTCCATTAGTGTGCATGGCATTAGGACACCCTAGGCCAGAGGTTGATGATTGACTTTGTTGGCGAGTCATCTAACCTTTGGTGAAGAGAGGGGCAGAGCTGTCAACCAATCACCCCCTGGTTGTGGGCTGGGACCGCTGGAGGACGAGGAAGCCGGAAAGACCTGGCAGACCCAAGTGTATCGTTAGGGTCTGTTGGGAACATCTGGCAGAGCCCTCTGTCACGGCAAACTTCAAGTCACACCTCCAGGAGAGTTTCTCCCAGATCTCCAGTGAGGTTGGGGACATACAGTCAGAATGGGCTAAATTCTCAGCCTTGACTGTAGATGCTGCCGCTCTTAGCTATGGTTGTAAGGTCTGTGCTGCCTGTCCCGGCAGCAATCCCTGAATCTGGAAGTGGACACTGGAAGTAAGGGATGCCGTCAGGCTGAAAAAGGAGTCCTATCAGGCCTTGTTGGCTTGTGGGACTCCTGAGGCAGCTGACAGCCTCTGAAGTTGCAGTTGGAACATGTCTGGGAGTCTCTGCTTAGACTGCTGCCCCCACGACCAGGCCCCCGGATAAGTGGAAGAAAATGGATGGATGGTCTCATTTTTCTAATTCACTTTTTCCACCTTGCACTTTACATACAACCTCTCACCCATTCATACACAAATCCATAGACTAGAGGCAAAGTCTGTAAAGTCTCTTGCTCAAGGCCACAATGACAGCATTCATCTGTGGAATTGCACCGTGAATGTGTAAACCTCTACCAATCATATTTATGTTGAGAGCTGGATGTGAACCTCCAACCTTCGGATCAGTGATCATACACTCGATCAACTGAGCTACTTTTGCCCAAGATAGATATAGACACGTGTAATGCTATACTGTGGAACATTCCAGCCATAGCAGTAACATCATCATGGAGGAAAGTACCATAGTGCTAAATAGAGCTAGATTAGCAGTGTCCATATACGGATGCACCCACCTGTGGCTAAGTAGATGATGTGAAACAGCGTGTCTTTGCCTTGTACTACATCCACAGCTACATGAGTGAAGCGCACGTTGTCTTCCATAAAGTAGGGCACGGGGACCACGGGCTGGACCACCTCATGCATTAGTAAGAACTTCTGAGCGTCCTGCAGGTTCCTCTCCGTCAGGTTCACGTAGGTGCCAGAGTCGATGGTGCCACACTGAGAAGATATGGAGGAAACAAGAGGGCAAAAGTTCAGCAATGTTATTATGGAAAGAGATTTACTCAGAGGGTGAATGGGGCTTGGTGGTATGGGTCTGGTATTTTGATATGCAAGGAAGCCGAGTTTGAGTTTGACAGCACTGAATATAGCCTGCATGCTTATATTACTTCATCATTCTGTATATAAAACTGATGTAAGGTGAGTTTGGTTACAGTGAGGAGGCCAGAAGCATTTGGAGAGAGCAAACTATAATTGAAAATATGTATCTTGCAATAGTAATAATAATAAACTTGAATACAGACACCATGCATTCATTCAAAAGGAAAATATTTGGACACAGTTGCACAGCTGCTTGTCTCTATAGAGATATATAACTGTAATGCCATATTGTGGAACACTATAGACAAAGCAGTTATATCTCCATAAAGATGAGCAGATGGCCTACCCTCCATCAGAAAAAGTTCATGACCTCTTTAAATCATTTACTTTTTTTTTTATCTCTCCCCTGTGAATGGAGTTAATTGTTTTGGTCCTCTTTTGCATTTCCTGTTGACACAAGAGTCAAATCTTATTAATGCTGCTAACTTTAAATATCTTTTCTATGTTGCTACGTTTGTTGCTATGGTGCTGCTGCAGAACTTTGAATTTCCATGGGATCAATAAAATCAATCTTTCTATCTTTAAACCACTGACTTTCCATGATGCTACATTATCAATATATTGAGTTGTACTTTATACAGTATTTTGACAACCAACTTTATTTCAAATATACTGTACTACTGTTACACCAAGAGCCAAAAAATGAAGGCGCTCCATCACAATTTGAGCACATCATAAAAAATGCATTAGATCCACCCACCTCTTTGATCCATATAATTTAAACACGAGTATTAAAGGTAGATTAAGGTGCACAGAAGGACAGCTTTGACTGAATGCATTAATAAAATCCTTAGCGTTACCTGTGCGATTTTTAGAAAAGGCTGTAGATTTGGAGGCCACCAGAGATAGAAGACTGAGGGACTGAATGATTAACTGAACAAGCCTTTTAAATCTACGGTCTCAGTGCGTCAACGCCCCCCTTTCAAAACCTTAAGGCTTTGTAGTCAATGCGTGCAGGTAGATGAAAGGTGGGACTGCGCTAGTAGCTATCTCTTTTCATTACATTTCACTCTCATATGCATATATATTGCTTGTATTGGTGTTCAATAACAGTTCTTTAGATGTCTTTAACATGAACTAATAACTTTAAAAGGTTAGCATGTGCTGTGGGTTTCATTACTAATCTTCATCATAAAAAAATGATTGCTTTCGGTAAACATGGTAACGTGATTCGAACAAGGGTGCAGCTAACAATAACTTTTTTATGAGGTGTTATAAAAGCTGAGATAAATAGGTGCCATTATTGCATATTAACTTGATTTCTCTGCTGTCTCAAGAGCTGTGTAAAATCGGAAGTCAAAAGTTCAAATTTAATGAGTTGCAAATGTGGGATACACACGTGTGCTACAACACAATTATGAGGCCAAAATCATTGTTAAATAAGAGAACAATGGGATTTTATTGGTGGCTTTTTAACTGCGCTGTGGCTCCACTGTGCAGTACACTGTGCACTGTGGTCAGAGGCAGCAGCATTAAACACAAGTGGAATACAAAATTAACTGCAGACAACTATCTATTACTGCACCGAGCTCGAGGATTCTGTCCCAAATGTGATGTGAAATACGCTCTGCCCCTGCCTTACACTTCTCAAATGAATGGCCGCGTCAGATCCCTGAAAATGTATTGTGAAAGGGCTCTAATGTGCATTTATCTACGGTACTTTTTGTCCGCTCAGATTACACCTGCCTTTCTCCACTGAGTTTTAGTTCCTTGCCTGGAAGGTTCCACAGTATGGCATTAAACTTATCTATCTGCATGGAAGCATTTTATTTTTTTTCTACATTATGTTTCCTCATCAAAAAAAAAAACAAAAAAAAAAAAACTGAAGTTGTTTCAGCACGTTTAACACACAAACCCCCTCTCTCTCTTCTGTCAAACAGAAAACACTGTTCCATCTTGTGATGTCATGTGGTAATACAGAAAATGCCCCACTGTGTTTTTAAACATTATACACCTACACTAGAATCATTTGGATGATTTCAGCCCTAGAATTGCCAGTCTCTTAAAGGTAGCTGTTTACTTGAAAACTACCACTTCAGAACATCAAAATGGCATTTTAAGCTTTACAGATTTAGACAGACTAATAATAAAGAGTTACTCAAACATGTGTGAATGAAACAAAACACAACTCCAGATACATTTTTGAGGAGCTAACAACATTCTACATGACTAAAAGAGTCCAGACCAGAGTCATTTTTTTGCATAATATCAGACCTTTAAATCAGGAAATTGTACAAGGGATAACAATATGATTCAGTATTTCTGATTGTGTACTCCAGGGCAAGTGGGTCTACCTACCAACCAGGGACTCAATGAATAATGCACAAAATTATAAAGTCATTTTAATTAACAGTCTAAGCACTTTTTAACAAAGACATTGTTATTAATCAACACTATTATTAGTCAAGATCAAAACTGTGATCACTCAACAATTTGACAATGCCCAAAAATGACAGTAGTCAACTTAGCACACTTGACAAATCGAAGAAAAAAACAACTCAAACTTATTGTATGAAGTTATCTGGACTGAAATGATCAGAGTCCATAACTTGCAATAGCGCAACAGTGGCCGGTAGTTGCAGTGACTTACTAATAAGGTATCGGGCTAGCAGGCTCCTCACAGATCAATGAGGAGCCCTCTCTGCACTGACAGGTGAGATTCACTGTAGGCTTCCCCAGGACACGCCACGGCTCAGTGCGTCCGCCACACAAGGAGATGGAAAATTAAAGCCCCAGAGGATAGTGCACTACAATACCTCTGGCTGTATATCTTCACCTGCGCGACTGCCCATAACATATGCATGAGGTTTACCACTGGGAGCCTGTCCTTGTATTGTATTTGTGGGATAACTTCTGAGCTGTGTGTTGTCAGTGAATGCGAGGGGAGATGGATGCATGGTGGTCATGGTACAGTCAAGGTGGGGACACTGGGACCATTTGGACAAGGGCCTACAGAGCACTCAGCTGGCTCTCTCTCTCATTATTATCAGCAGCTTTTACTCTGTCAGGAGCATGAGTGCTGCACCAAAATAGTCCTGTTTACTACCGGGTTTGATCAAAGTAAAGGCTTTTTGTTTGCCTCCTACATATCAAGATTGCTATGATGTATAGTTGCAAGCACTGATGGAACTCACAAAACTGATAGTACTGACAAAAAGAGTGAAAATTACAATGCATAAAAAAAAATACTTTCTTCAAATTGACTGACCTGTCATAAAATGTATTGTAAATGTAGAACTTTGTGACAAAATAGACACAGTTTATACATTGCAAAGTTGTAAAAAAGAGCCATTTAAGTCAATATATGACACTTTGGGATGATTGGCTGTCCTTAGATGAGGGGTCCCCAACCCCCAGGCTGCGGACCGGTACTGTGAAAGCACAAACTCCCCCTCTCATTCACATCTCTAAACCAGGTCTAAAACCAGGACTAAACCAGAACTAAACCAGGACTAAACCAGGTCTAAAACCAGGTCTAAACCAGGACTAAACCAGGAATAAATCCAAGACTGAACCAGGACTAAACCAGGACTAAACCAGAACTAAACCAGGACTAAACCAGGTATAAAACCAGGTCTAAACCAGGACTAAACCAGGAATAAAACCAGGACTAAACCAGGACTGAACCAGGACTAAACCAGAACTAAACCAGGACTAAAATGAGGAATAAACCAGGACTGAACCAGGACTAAACCAGAACTAAACCAGAACTAAACCAGGTCTAAACCCAGGTCTAAACCAGGACGAAACAAGGAATAAAACAGGACTAAACCAGGACTAAACCATTCCGCATTGCTGCAGCCCTTGGTCCACGAAATACTGACATAAAACAGGACCCTAGTGCTAAAAAGGTTGAGAACCACTGCCTTAGATGACTGTCTGTCTTCACTTTACAGTTTAAAACAGCTATTCTTAAACTCTGTTAGTGGACAGAAAAAAAAAAAGGAAAAAAAAATCAGGAATGTGAATATTAGTGATGTGCCAAAGGGTTTGAGAGAGCTACAGAAACTAGACAGATTTAAACCTACTTTGTCCTTGTGTTTCAGTGGTTTTGTAATTCCAAGGCACAATTTACTGCACTGGGAATTGCAGTCCTGCTTATTACTACTACTGATACTTTGCAGCTGATGTCATCAACATTCCCTGGAGGTGTAATGATACCTGTAAGCACTGGTCTGTTTGAGGCTTGTAAGACTTTAATCTGATCTTTCTTTTAACACAGTCTGACCAGAAAGAGCGGACTTAGTTGGAACTACAAGAGGTGAACTGATTTGTGCAGTTAAACAACAAGGCCCTCTCGAAAACATTTCAGTCCCAAGTACTGCTACTGCACTTCTACTTGCTAACATTATTGCCAATACTACCACTACTGTCCCAATTACTACAACCAATAGAACAATTATTTGAAAACGCATCTACGTCTACATTTTATTTAAGTGTTATTTTCAACCTTACCCAATCATTATATGCAATCATTAGAAATCTATATCCACTATTGTTCACCGTTCATTATTCTCCAGTGCAGTTCTTCTTATTAGATAATTACAGCGTATGGCAGAAAACCTATAACACAGGTTGCACTACCTTACACACACATGAACATGACTCAGAGTCTGGATAAACCCTGCAGGATCAATCTATGTGGTTCAAATAAATGGAGGATTTTCTCCGCTGTCAGACGTAGAATTAAGCTCTCAATCAATGGCAAGTATAGTGTTCAGTCGTCATAATTATACCCATTTGGAAGCCATCAATAAAAGGTGTTTGGTTGTTTACTTTGATATGATTCCTGGAGCTCTGCTGGGTGCGCATACGTGTAGGTGTCTTTAGACAGCCCATAAATCCTGCCTGGTAAATCTAATCCCACTACATTGACAAATACTTGATGAAGATGTCACTGAGAGCCAGATAAAGTGTGCACCGGTCCAGTGGTGAGGAGCAGCCATTTTGCTCGCTGCGTCTTTAAGGAGGAGATAGGAGGAAGAGGAGAACTGATACGGCCTTATCCTTGAGTAAAAGAGGGAAAATATATGGCAGGCTATTCAATACAGCTAAAGCTACATGGAAAACAGGATATGTCATGGTTAAAAGGAGAAAAAATAATGCAAGGTGAATTATTGTGGAAATGTTTTATAAAGCGCTCAAAATGCTGTTAAAGTACGCTACTAAAGATAATTGCTGTAACATATGCTCATAGTGGTTTAAAATTGGTCATATATTCCCAGTAGTGCCTGAAATGTCATTGGCTGTCATATACTGAGGACAGATGATCAGATCTGATCAGAGAGAGCACCTTTGGGTGTATTTCAAACTGACTTTAATCATAGGCAGCCCAAAGAGAGAAGCTCATATTGCTTTCTGATTGGAGGATCTGGAGAACTAAATCATTATACTGCATGTAAACGCAATCAACAGTGTGTTTACAGTGGTGACGTCAACATTGCAATTGTTTTCAGTAAATTTCATATCTAATTTGAACAGGTTTAATTCATATGTGAGGATACATACACTACCTGTCAAACGTTTGGACACACCCTCTCTTTCAGCATTTTTTTCCCTTCATGTTTACTATTTTCTACTTTTTCTACATAGTATACTAAATATTTTTCGACAAAGTAAAGGGTGGCTACTTTAAGGGTTTGAATATAAGTTAATATACAAGTAATTTAACATTTTTTCTTTGCTACTTAATTCGGTATACTTCACTGACTTCATAAACTTGATCTCTTCTGTATGTACGGTATATAAAATGTAGAAGGTAGTAAAAGTACTAAAAACTTTTGGCTAGTAGTGTATATATTAATATCTAGTTGCTACTGTAACAAAGTCTGCAGTATGACCAAATACAGTATATTACATTTTCTATCTACAAATGTCACTTGCTAATTTGACAAAACATGGCAGAAGTGTCATGATGGAAAGCAAAAGCATATGAATTTTGAGTCCATAATACTGTCCATATTGTACTTTGAAGAAATCCTCTCCCTTGTAGCCGACTATGAGGATTAGCTCTGTCCTTATCTACAATAAGCCTGCAATGACGAGAGCTGTTCTGCACACTAACACATACTTCCACACAGAAATAAGGTGTTTTTATATCTCGGGGTTTTAGGACGGAGCATAAACCCAGAGTGCCTGTTTTGAGAAACAAGTGCAGTTTATGAGAGGGCTTGCAGCTGACTGTAGAATCCGATGAGCCATATTAAAAAATAATGCCCGCACTATTGTAAAAATGACTGGATTTTTATAGCGACTGGTGCTTAATGTCTGTATTTATGTGCAGATGGAGGCAGGTGAGTGAGGAGAAAGTGAATTAAAAGGAATTAGTGTCTTACTGGGTTTTCAGACAAGGCTCAAATGGGCTAAGCTTATATTGATGAGAGAATTCAAAACAGGTAAGCTTTCATCCAAAACCACACACAGGCATTTTTTTTTCAGAATATAATCCAACAAGGACATAATTATTGTGTATTACTTAAAGGTCAGTCATTTGCAAAGCAGACATCTTGTAAACATTAGTAACTATTCAAACACACTGACAATGCAAATCCAGGACATGTGGAGTCAGTGTGATTAAAGACGACCTGGAGGTTTAACCCACAACCTGCTTGATGGCTTCTTCACCACCAAGTACTTCCTGAAATCTTTTATTAGTAAAGGTTTATGCTTTCTGGGTGACTTGTTTTCATGGAGATGTTATTATTTAGCCTGGAATGTTACACAGTAGGGCATTAAACTTCAGCTATCATCATGGAGACAAGCAAGATCTTTGGGGAGGTGACACTGATTACTGGAAGAATTCATGTTTTTCAGGTGAGCAATAAAAACACTAGTGATTGACTGAGTGCAAGATAGATAAGTTTAATGCCGTACTTTGGAACATTCTAGGCAAATCAGTAACATCTCTATGGATACATGGAGGTGTTATAAACTGCATAACACGCCTGACATTACTTTCTGACAAATGTATTTAAGTCTAATATTTTTTTATGTGATCTGTACAGTGTAATATTTGAACATGGTTAGGTACACCTGAGGTTTGCCATTACAATATTATGGAGATGTGTAGTGTTGTTTTTACCTGGAAGTCGGGGTTGGGGTTGGGGTAAGGCAGCCACGCCGATCGAGAGTTCTCCTGGTACTTGAAGGGTCCATTAAAGGAGTGGGATATGGCGCTGAGATTGAAGGCACACACTGCAGACGCCGCTATGCTGTTCCTGTTCAGAAACACAACAAGAACCAGAGGAAGAAGAAGAGGAAGAGGAGGAAGAGGATTACAGAGTGTCCCAACAGTCAAGATGCCAATGGAGGTGGGCAATCAATACAAGACCCTAGATAAGATTAAAATGTATGTTTTGAAGGTAAGCAATGAAGATATAATAACGATCAATAAAACTAATAATAGCTGTTTGTACAGTTTACTCTCTATAGCTATAGCTGTGATATAGAACCAACATACTATCTGATTAACAAATTCTCCCCCCAAAAATATTAGTATTGTTGACAAAGGAGAAATTCTATTTTTGTCGACTGGACAAAAGTTTATTTGGTTGAATACGTTATAGGCAGATATATGGAAATGTCCACAAGCATTTTGACCAGAACTGAAGAAGCAGCTTGAATCAGCTGCGAAACATATTCAACCAAATAAACTTTTGTCCAGTCGACAAACTGAATTTCTCCTTTGCCATGGATTCTACCAGGATAACTGAGGGACTTTTCACACATTAGAATTGTAAAAAAAAATTATTACACATATAAAAATTATGCAAAATTTGAATGTCACAAATAAATAAAAAAAATTGTTAATATCAATTAAAGTTAGAGTTAGTTAGACTTAATATAAAAATAAAAGAACAGAAACCATCTTTCTAATATAGAAAATTTCTCAACTTCTGTGGTTAATTGGCACAGTCCATTCACTTTATGTACCACTTAATTCTCAACCAAGTCATTTACAGGAAATTTAGATTTTTGACATTGCAATATATAAATACATTCAGATCCAAACGTGATGTGGTGAGATATTCCTTTTTGTCAATAGAAAACAGAAAACACTATTGGGTTATAAATCCTGAAATGGAGTACAATTCTACTGTGCTCTCTGTGTGATTAAGTGCACAGATCCTCCACCTAAAATATGACTTTGACTTTTTAAACTGTCATTTTCAACAAGTAGCAGCCCTCCTCTTTCCACACGTAAAGAATGAGAGAATTTGTCTTCAAAGCGTGAGACTCCAACTTGAAGTGAGTTATAATGTACCATTGGTGTTCATTAAAATGTGTGCCTGCAGGGGGAGGCGATTATTTTCAGCAAAGTGAAAGCCTGGACCATAAAGAATAGATACTCTCTTGATATGGTATAGCAGTACTCAGATTACAACAGTGGTGGATAAAGTACTTAATTTTGTTACTTCAGTGAAAGTACAGATACAAGGGCAAAAGATTACTCAAGTAAAATTATCACATGACAAAATCTACTTAAGTAAAACCTTTGAAACACCTGTTTATAAACGTAAGTAAGTTTATTGCAGAGATTTTTAGAACAATTAAAGCATAAAAGTTAGTGATTTTGATAAAGAATATAACAGATTTTAAGCTATTCAATTGATTTCTTAATTTTTCTTACTGTTTTTGTGTATTTGGTTTGTTCAAAGTTTGGGCGTTAACTCAAATTAAACTAACTAAATTAACTAAAAATAAGATTTCAGCAGGTTTCAAACCATAAAGAAAAAATAATTTTCAGTCCAGATCTAAACTGTAGTGGAGTATAAAGTACAGATACATGCTCTCAAATGTAGAAGAAAAGTTACAATACACCTTTAAATAAAGTGCAGATATCTCAAAAGTGTACTTAAGTGTTGTACTTTTGCTTTTGTACTTAATTCCACCACTGGACTACAAAAGGTTAAAGTGATTTTATACTGCATAGTAAAATCTGAACTGTTTATGCATGTTACAGTCCCAATGCATCAAACAGCTTTCTAATAAACCCCAAATATGAATATGATAAATACATTTGGGGGTGGTGTAAGTGTAAACAACTTTATCACACAATTTCTAACAGAGAGCGTCGTGTGAAATGTCAAGTGTCAAGTAAATGCAGATTGCTGTCACCAAGCCCGGTAACGTCAAAAACACTGAATTAAACATGAGGCTGTGCCATTGGTAAATTAAGAACAGCACAGCACCTATATGCATATTTACACATAAGAAAGTGAGATAACTAAATTACAAAAAAGAGGGATTTTAAAATTTTAAAATTATTGTTTCAATTTTTAATGGACAAAATAGTGTTCATGTCTCCAAAATATACCACATTTTGTACAAATAACCAAGTTTGGTCAGTCTCAGCCTCACCAGCCCCTTTCTGTCCTTGGGTAACACACTTTAGCTATACTTGTTTCTATGGTGCTGGCTGAGTAATTCTGTGTTGTTTCAGTTTAAGAGGGCATCAACTCAGATAGTCTATGTTCACACTTTGTCAGTAATACAAGCAAATGACTGTAAAGCACCATGCAACTTTTCTGACCACATGCTTGGCAACAGCTGAATGTCTCTCCCCAATCGAAACACATCTCTCTTTTTAATAAACCTAAAGGCACCAAATAGAGCCAAAAGAAAAAGAAGAAGGACTGTGACATAGCTTACACATGGGAGAAAGTAATGCAAAAACACCAAATATATATTTTTCTTACACTAAATGAGATTTGTAACCTTGCACTGCAGCTGGAAAGTCGCGAGGTTTGAGCTTTCAAACTGACATGAATCCATCTTGTACAGCTCTCGGCTAATCTGCTCAAACAGCTTTGATGCAGAGCCGAAATCGTATATATTTTCCAACAAAAACATTGTAGTAATAATTGCTAACAAGGTACCAAGTGTAAGAAACAGTAAGTATAAAGCTACACATTCATTTAGCCATAAACAATATTGGTTTAACATTGAAGCAAGTCAACTGGCTGCTGTGATAGGCTAAAACTCCACTGAGATTCCTTCTTTCTCTCTTTTTCAGATATAGACGTATGTGTAAAATTAAAGTGCTACACACATACAGTTTATGTAAAGCAGATATGTCAGACTCAGGCCCGGGGGCCAAATTTGGCCCACAATATAATTATATTTGACCTGCAAGATCATATCAAATATGTATTAGAGCTGGCCCGCTGGCTACAGATAGGCTATAGAGACATTATTTATTTAAAATGTTGTTATTATTTTATATTATTCTTGATATGGATTCAGTATTGAAGCAAAACTATTATTAAACATTTATTTTAATAAGAAAAGGTTTAACATTACTTATCTCAAAAGAAGAGAAAACATGCAGATGTCAAATTTTTCAATAAATATTTAGTTTGGCCACAACTTAGTCACACTTTTTAATTTTGGCCCTCTGTCAATTTGAGTTTGACACCCCTGATGTAAAGATTAAACAACAAGGAACAGTGTCCACTTATATCATGATCCCTTCAACTAAAAATAGTTCACTTTTAAATCTGACAACTGACTGTCCATGGACGTACAAGGCATTAGTTATTTCTGTTTTGGTGGAAGCTAGTCTCTCCTAACAGTAGTTCATTTGTTTATGCTCATTTGTGATGCTCACAGCGTAGTGATATACAGTGAATAGCTGTTGTCGGATCAATGCAGCAGTTAGCATTAGGATTTTCACTGACCATGGTATTACTGGGTTTCAGATGACACAACATTCCATAGGCCAGTATTATTTATTACAGATGGGGGGGCAGCTAAAAATAAATATAGTTAAAATGCAGATTTTTGTTGCAATACAGCATGGTCTTGGGTCTAGTCAATAATAGTAACGATCAGGTTCCCTATTTGAGAGTTTATCTTTCCGCTATTTCATGGCAAAGTACAATGTTATCAATTGTTGAATTTCAGAGAACATCACAACCTTTTATAGGTCAATAATGTTTAATACAGATGAGGGGCAGCTCAAATTTAAATTGTAAAATTGTTAAAATGCTAAATTATGTTGTAATACAGTGAGTTCTTGGGTTTTGTCACTAATTAAAAATACCAGATTCGACCTTTGTGAGGTTACCTTTTGGATATTTCATGACAAACAAAATCTGTGTCTTGCCCCCATTTGGGAGTAAGACATCATCACATTCTACCATCTGAAAACATTAACAATCAATAAGATAACAGATATAACATCCCCAAAGGCCCCATACAGCAGGTACTCACACGTTGGTGGTAAAGATCCCGTAGAGTAGCTCCAGCTCGGGCAGGTAGAATGTCCCCTGCAGCTCATTGTAGTTAAAGGGGATCTCTCCTGGTCTGGAACAGTTCAGTCTGGCCTTCATAAACGTCGTCCATGTGTCCTCGAGCAAAAACCTTCCTCCGATGTCATTCTTGCAAACCCGGCCCACTCGAGAAAACACCGTGCGGCCGCAGTCGTGCTCAACCGCATTCTCCCGGAAGAAGAAGAAGGTAAAGTTCCCGATATCGTAGGAGGAGACGAAGTTTGGTTCTGCAAAACAATTCAAAGCAGGAAAGTGTGAAGGGACCAAAAGGGGAAGACAGTTCAAACAGAGATGGATGAGGGGAGAAAACCTGCAGAAATATACTTAAGCTCGTGGGAGTGTGACACTGAGTTATGACTGATGGACTCTGGCTGAGAGGGGCCCACACAACAGCAGGGCATCAGAATTAACAAGAGCAGCCCTGTTATTAATGGACCCGTGTTGTAATAGGAAAACTCATTTTTCATTCCCCCACTAGCCAAAGGTTACAGTGAGAAACGACTGAGACATAATAGCTCTGGCCTCATCTACAACATGTAACCCCACGCGACACAATCACAAGGGTGTTTTTTATGTATGACATTATTGGATTTAAAACACAGCCTTCATTCCCTGTGACAGACGTTTAATTCACCTTTAAATGAATGTGATATGCTACACTTTTCTGCCCTCCTGCAAAAAAAATCCATTCGCCATAACATCAGTCTATTTCACAGTTTGTTACAAAGAAGCGTGCTCGCTGTTTTTAATTAAATTTTTCACTTACATAAATCTGATAACGTTGATTGTTGACAAGATCCATAATTTCCTATTCAGTCTCGACCAAGGTTGAACCAAGTACAAATAATGATTAAATACATTGAAAATATACAATGCTATCCTTGGTTTCTTTATTGCAGGAATAAACTATGGTAAGTAATTTTATTTAGTTGCCTTGGTGATAAAAGCTACACATTATAAGGACAAAGTATATGCCATGGTCCTTGACAGTAAAAAGATGAAGCTATTAATTCACATACAGTGCCTTTAGCTAGCAATTCATTGGTACCAGATTTGGATTAAAACGCTCCTGCATACAAACTGTGGTCTGGATCCACGCTGAGATTAGAATTTTGTCGATATATTTTTTAATTATGTAAAACTATATTAACATGTTTTATTAAGTAAACTGCAGAAATCACACAGAAATAGGTGAAGACTGTGCTATTAGAACATGAGAGGCTTTCATTGAGTCTGTGGATTATAAACCTTTAGCTTTTACTGCAAACTCAAAGCATGTATTTCAAATGTTATGTAGGTTAAAGGTGCACTCTGTAAGTTTTTGGTTGGAGGTTCTGCACCTTCTTGTTTCTGCAGACATGTCACTGCTCTGCTTGGAATGTCCCATAGTATGATATTAAACAGTTTGACCTAACATTTATTCAATTACAGGTGGTTTTATGGGTCAAAAAACCTAAAAAAAGGCATTCTGACTATGAGCAGGTTGCCTCTCCACAGATCTGACCTGTAACTTGGTCTGTTTTGGTCTCCACGATGATAGCGGTTTAATGCCATACTGTGAAACATTCCAGATAAAGCAATAACATTTCTACAGAGAAAAGCATTTGACCAACCATCCACTAGAAAAGTTACACAATACACCTTTAGAGTAGCCAGGCTGGCACTACCTAGTGCCTCCACTCAATATCATTTGTCTCCAGCGACTGGGACAGGAATCAGAATACACTAGACGGTTTGCAAAAACCCCAGAAGAGTTCGGGCACCAGCCAATCAGTGAAGAGTCATACATTCTGTGTTGGCAACGATTCCCGAGATCGATTTAAAGTCGGAACAAAGAGAATGTTCAGAGAATTTTATCAAGGGGAAAGACGTTATTGCCCTTCTTCCTATGGGATTTGGGAAAAGCTTAATATACCAGTTTGGCCCGTTACATGTCACAATCAAATAGCAGCGATTGGTGCTAAAAAATGTACTTGCCTACCGTCGAACAAACAAATTTGAACACTACGAGGTCAGAAACCAGCTGATGAATCAGGCAACCTTTAGAGAGCAAGCGGGTAAAAAACACATGTAGCTATTGCTTTGATCAAAGAATTAGAGTTGGTATGGAAAATTTCACACACCATTATTATACAGAAATGTCTTGTAGTTTTAGGTGTGCCTTTTATATTTAAATTAGCTCTCGCACAATCTTCCACAGTACATTAAGCTCATACAGTGTGAGTATGTAGGCGTAGAGATCCAGTGAAGGGTTTACTGATCTTTATCTAGTAAAAGCACTGATTTTGGAGTCAGCCAGGCACACACAAATTACTTAAACAACCTCAGAAACCCTCAAATAACACTGTTGATCATTTAATTTGAATATCCACTACAATGAATAATACAGTAATACTAAAATTCAGTTTGCCAAGTTAAAAAGACTAGTTTATAGCAGGATATAGCCTTCGAGGGTTCTGGGGTGAACGGAAGGTGGAAAACCTTTATCTGAACCACAATGGGGAAATTGCTTATCCTTGGAGATTCCGAATGAATTATAAATTTCCTGAAATGTGACCTGTGAGTTCATTTCTTTAGAATCTGGATTTTACAACATGGTTTTCAACATGGTAGCCTAAAAGATGTCTTCAAATAAGTGTTTGGTAAAAATATTATTACACAAACTGTGTAACAATATGTATAATAGTGTGTAATGTATATGTAATAGTATGTAAAAGTATGTACAAGTATGTATGTGTGAAGTGTGTTATTATGACAATTTTGAACAGGGTTATTATGACAGATTAAATGTGCACTGTGTAACTTTTCTGGTAGAGGCTTATCTCCCTGGCGATACCTGGAATGTTTCACAGTAAGTTATTAAAGTCATCTCATCACGAAGAAGGGACCAATTTACAGCTCCGACCTGTGAAGCGTTTATGTTTATGACATGGTATTTTGAGGAATAGAAACACCTCTAATTTAATCCATGCAAGATAGAATTAATGTTACACTGTGGTACATGGAGGCACAGAAATAACATATCCATGGAGACAGGCAACATACCATAAAAGTTGCATAGTGCACCTTCAAGCGTAATACAACATAATTAACTGTATGTGCCATGTGCTTACCATTGAGCCACTTGGAGTTGTACTGGGCGGTCCGCAGAGGGGGCAGGCCTCCCAGACTGCGGTAGATAGCGGGGTCTCGTCCGCTGAAGTCCATGGCTGTAGCGGCGTAGAGCTCCCCACTAGAGGTGATGAGGGCTGTGGAGTTATGGAGCGGATTGTACGGACAGCGCGCCATTCCGCTGATCTGGTCGTGGATCTCTGTCAGGTTTGTCAGCTGCAACACACAAGAGCAATTGGAACAGCATTATCGTCTATTCTTTACAATGGGAAGTGAAAAATCGCGAGTGACAGGATACAGACATGGGGCGAAAATAATCATTTATATCCCGGGATGGAAAAACAATAAGACACAATTTGTTTTAATGGAATGGTGAATGAGAAAATCTAGATCAAAATATAGCGCAAGGAAGCAAAGGGCATCATTAAGATGCAAAGCAGATAGGTCTTCCAGTGTTTGTTTCTGCCTATATGCAAATGCTGTGACAAAAATACCACATCTCATTATGTTTTGTTTGGTTTTTCTACCACATGTTGGAGGATACGTGAGAAAAAGCTTCAAGAACAGCGAAGATAATCAAAAGACATTCTCAATCATTAGCACAATATAACGCGCGATCTCAACAGCTGTTTTGATGTTGCCAGTGCAGGGGAAACCACCTGTTATGAAGCCAACAGCATTCTGTACAGTCTTAAATTAAAGTTCCTTCTCTTCCTTCCGCTGGCTTAGTTGAAGTTAGTCCCGGACATGCAGCTGTGCTTCTTGTTGTATCATTATTAAACCACAACTAGAGGAGTTCCCTTCCTTTCAAAAGAGGATTTGGAGCAAGCTTTAAATTCCTGCTTTGAATTTGAAACCGAATCTGGCTGTGCGCTTTTTAAAAATACTTTTAACAGCATGACCCTGGTTTAGCCCCAACACGAACTATACAAAATTAAAGGTGCATTGTCTAACTTTTGTAGTTTCTCCAAGGAGATGTTACTGCTTTTTCTGGAACTTTTCACAGTATAGTACTAAACCTCTTTGTGAAGACCAAACCAAACCAAGTTACACGTCAGATCTGTGGAGAGACGACGCCGCTCACAGTCAGAATGTCTTTTTTTCTAGGTATTTTTGGACTATAAAACCACTTGTAATTCAATAAATGTAAGATAAAGCTGTTTAATGTCATACTGTGGAACATTCCAGGCAGAAACAAGCAGGTGACGGACCCCAACCGAAAAGTTACATCGTGCACCTTTAAGGAATATTTAGGAATAGGCTACAGTGACTCAACTTGGCCAGAGATGCAATGCGTCTTTCAAAATGCTGGATCGTATTACATTTTATGCTGCAAAAGCACACACTATATAGAAGGATTAGCAGTTGGTTTTAAAGGGAATATCCGGAAAGCTTTGTGGATACAGGTGATTCCACTGCCAGCTTCCTAGTCTATTTGGATAAAAGGGTCTATTAAGTCAACCCCTGCTTCCTAAACACCAGCTCTGTCAGTGCGCTATCCGGTCTCTAGGGATGAAAGCCAGGGATTGACTAGCATTAGCCCGAAGATCCGGAATTAGCTATGTCTAGGTCAATAGGGTCATTTAGCAAAACACAAAAAGCGATAAATAGATGGCTAGGCTGGCTAAACTGAATATGTATGAAGCCCAGTGAAAGTTGCCTCTGTGGAGCGTGCGGCAGCTGCAAGGAGGAGCATTGAAGTGACTTAAAAAGGCTGATTGAGAATTTCAGACAGTTGGTTCACAGAGTAGACAGTCCACGCTGAGAGCCAGTAGGGGGCCAGTAGGGGGCTCCGGAGCGTGCCGGGCAAATACAGACGAGAGTGAAGCCGTAGAGATAATTTCGAAGCAAGCACAGTTACATAAAGGGAAGAGCGGGTAGCTTTGTACACCACTGGATCTGCTGGTGGACCTATGCTAATCCATGAAGTGTGGAGAACATGGGGTTGTTGTGGTATTTGATAGTCAAAATAAACACATCTGCAAAAGCTTTGGAGATTTAAAGAGACAAGATTTTCATTTTTGACTGGTTATTTTTGAGGAAAACATTTTTCATAGAACGCATTTCATACAGTGATGCAACACAATGATTTACAAAGATAACGTAACAATAGCGTTTAAATGAAGCCATATTACTCCTTCCTTACAGCAGTAAAATATATACACATCGAGGCAATAGCAGCCACGCATTAGTGTAGTAGTTTCCTCAATTTGTAACACTTGTTTTGTTTTGCTTAAGGGTCATGGAGGCCTGGAGACTGGAGACTCTATTTGTCATTATATATACATACAAGTTTAAGATATTGGCAAGATTCGCATGGCAGGTTAGTTTTATCCTGATCAGAGATGGGCAAAGGTGGAAAAAGTACTGAAAATTTTTTATTAAGTAAAAGTATCTTTACTTTGCTTAATTCCTACTCAAGTAAAAGTAACCATCTAAAAATCTACTCAAATAAAAGTACAAAGTACTTAATTTAAAATGTAATTTGAGAAAAAGTTACTTAGTTACTTTCAATTATTTGGTGTAAAAAAAGATGAGTCATAAATCTAATCCATCACAAGGTGTTTTAATGAACTTTTAGGTGATACAGTGCAAATTTGTACATTTTAAAGACAATTGAGCTAAACCAGGACTATAGCAGGACCAAACCAGGACTAAACCTGGACTATACCCTTACAGTATATACTCTACCAAGTTTTGTTTTTATTTCTGTGTCAGTCTGATTTTACTCAGTAACGAGGATGGGTTCCAGTGTAATGAAGTAAAATACTTGCGTCAAAATGTACTTGAGTAAAAGTAAAATTACCTATTTCAAAAACTACTTAAAAAATTACAACTTACTCCTAAAAACTGCTCAGTTACAGTAATGTGAGTAAATGTAATTCATTACTTTCCACCCTTGGAGATGGGTACATTTACTCAAGTTTTTAAAGAAATTTTACCTTTTGGAGTAGATTTCAGAAGACATGCCTTTACTCCCACTTAAGTAATATTATATTTGAAGTAACAGTGCTCTTACCTGATTAAAATTCAGGTTACTCTCTCTCCCCACTGTGAGTAAGTCTATGATTGACAGAGCTTTTATGTGGTTGATGTTGACAATAACAAATGATTTCACAAATGTGTGTTTCTTTCTCCGCTCCTTCAAGCATGATAGTTTTCTCTCTTTGTGGTCTATCCTTTGAAAATATCAGATTGTACTTTATGTATTGAGTTGTCCTTCTAATTACATTAGCTTCAAATATAAAATTTTTGGCTACTCTATCCATTTCTGATCCATGGCGACTACATGAATCACCACCATGAGCTGTTTTTATCATAGTTTTTATCATAAGTGAATGAGAACAGACTTTATCTTAATGTCACAGAGCTTCCCATATGATCATTACTTTTAATTGACAGTATCATCAGTATTTATTTGGCATCTCCAAATTAAGATGCATTTGAAAAGCAAGCTAATATTTTAAGTGAATCCATTGCCTTTGCACACTTTCTCCTAATGACTTCTATTATCATGCATACAATTACAGTAATGCAGTCGGGGCTACTGTCACTGTACCATTATAATCAGGAGCAATATCACTAACAGATAAATGAACATACTGTATATTTAATGGACAACTTAAACTAATCTCCCACTGACACAGTTAATTCATCATAATAGACTCCCTCTCAGAGTACAAGCACTGTTTCACATTATCAAGCGTTGAGAGCAAATATGACATGTTTTTTGATGGAATACTTGGAATAATGTCATGGCATTTCAGCTATATGTATTTTCACACCAGTAAACAGTCATTATGAGCCTCCGACCTTTGGATGCAGCGCTCATGGTCAAAAACAAATGTCATGATCACGGTAAACTCGACAGCACTCGCCCAGAGCCGAGCTGGAGTTTGAGTAAGACGATTGAGTGTGAGGAGAGTACTGGGGGGTATCCAATGTGCCTTCAGTCAGTTTGGGGTCTCATGTCTCAAGTTTCTATACTGACATTTAATTTAACAAAACATTTTAAAGGTGTCCTATGTAACTTTTCTGATAGTAGGAAGTCTGCTTTCTGCTTATCTCCATGGATATGTTGTTGCTTTATGTGAAATGTTCCACAGTATAGCTTTAAACCAATCTATGTTTGTCTTGCTTGGCTCATTGAGAATTTAATACCATACTGTGGAACATTCTAAGCAAAGCGACACCATATCCATAGAGACAAACATTTTGGTTTAGGTAAATTTGTTTTAAGTACATAGGCACATACTTTCTATATTATTCTTTCTTATTTGGCTAGTAACGCAAATCTACATCCACATCAATCCAGCAGCTTTTAACACAGTGTTACTTTTTGTAGTTTAATTACAATAACTGGAGTAGATGTGACTCATGCGTTTTCCAAAAATAACACCACCACTCCTCTAGTTGGGAATCAGATAAAAACGCTCCAGGAATGTAAATAATTTTGACAAACTTGTATTGTTTCTTTAAAGTGACTAACTTCCCCAGCCCACACAGGTGACGCCCTGGAGCTGGTGAAACCATGACAGACACAGAGCTGTCTCCAAACCTCTTTAAATCCTGCTGTTGTCAAGATTATGGCTCACGACTTTGTCTGTGACATTGTGGCGTTCATCAATCCTGCTCCGTCAGCCATCACTGTCAGCGCAGTATCATGACTTATTAGGCTTATTTACACAGACAGTCATATATCAATTAGGCAAATGACAAATGTATTATAAATCTAAGGCTCAGATATCTTCATCTTTAACGACATCTGCTAATTATAATTCATACATGCTTAATTTAAACAGTAATTGTGGCACAGGAGGGAGGTAAGGCTGTGTTGGTAAAAATGTGTTATGATAATAGTAATGTTGGACTGGATGATGCGCACATATTGCTAAATACATTTTTAGTGTTTGAAATAATGCCTTACACTTAATGCTCTTTACAGGCCTCTTAAAGAGCTATATTGTCGTTATTATTCATTAATTCCATGCTCACTAACGGTAAGATGTAGCCACAGATGCCCTGGGGCAGACTGACAAAACCAATCTGACAACCACCAATCAGTCGTGCAAACACCACTTTCACTGGAAGGTGAAGTGCCTTGTCTAATGACACAATGGCAGACTTGGTCCACGTGGGAATCAATCCTCCAACTTTCAGGCTGAGGGACCACTGCTCTAACTTCTGAGCCATTTTTAGAAAGACTACATGCATTTTTGTAGTAATATTACTAGTAGTTGTACAAGAAAAATACTTGTCAATTAATTAGCAGCCAGTTTAAAGAGACACATTTCAGCCCTTTTAATATCTGTTTTTGACCGGGCATAGTTCAACAAGCAAAACATTCAACCATGAGATTCAAAGATCCCTCTTCCACTATTGCATAGATCTGTTGTGGCCTCTTACCTCCAGTGCCCATATCAGTGCTTGAAGAAAATAGTTGTTGACTAGTTTTACTGCTAAATAAATGGACTTCGACTTACCTTATTGAATCTCGCTCTTATGATGGCTTCAATTAACATTTTAATCTATACAGACTCTATTTGAAGCTGGAGTATGCTCTTGAGCTAATTGAAGTGATTATTGTAGAAAAAAAAACAGTTGTTACCGTGCGGTTGGTGCAGATGGGGGTGAAGGCATTGGTCCCACAGGTAAACAGCCGGTTTCCGTTCACCAGCAGCACCCTGATGTAGTTCTGGCACTCCTCCTATAAACCAAACACACACACATCTTCATTAGCACTTAGCAATAGCCATTATCGTGCCATTGACATCAGCAGCTCCACTCCTACTCTCAAAATTACACTTTACGTCGATAAATGAGACAAACATCTGAGACTGCAGGAGGGCTACACAAGAACGTGGGCAAGACTGACACGGACAAATCAAAGGTAATGCTCAGACTCCTCACTAAAGTCACATCCAATTCAGAAGGGGCAGCTGTGAGGAGGACCAAGAACAGACTTTGCAGTGCCTAAATGTAGCGGCCCGTAGGAGAAAATCATTCGGGATTAGTTGAAAAATTGCCATTGCTTTGTTGACTGGTCAAAAAACAAAATGTCTTTCAATCGTATTTTAATTTTATTTTATTTATGAGTCAGTTTTCTACGAATTAAATCGAGGTGTTCTCTGCAGTCTTCATGTTTCCTTGAATTTGCACAAAGGTGGTCTAACAGTTACTGATTGAATTCACAAATGGCTTCACCAGCTCATCGGCAGCATAGCCTTTATGCAACAGTAGGAGTGAGTATTAATTCTAAAACTTTAACTTGAATAATAAAAAAGGGAGGCATTTGATTTTTACTTGCTTTTTTAGCCTATATAAATGTAGTTTCTCAAGGTATTGGAAAATGCTGCAGATATAAAGCACATCTCCCAAGACATTAGTTATGTATAAGACATCTCGTATTTTTTTGTAGATATGAGAAAGTGATTGTGATATTCTATTTAGCATGAGGTTTCAAACAGGGCACGTAAAAGCAATATTGTAAGAACACAAAGTTTTTTGTTATTTTTGATTTTGTACTGAGAGCACAGACCTAATCGCTTAAAAGATTCTTTTTTTTGTGTGTCATATGTTCACCTATTTTCCAAATGTCTCTACCCTGTCTCTCCTCATTTCACGCTACATCTGTCTTGCCCAATATGGCTTCAGGATGGAAAAGTCTCTATGATTCCATAACAAAAGAAGATTTCTAATGAGAACTATATATAGAAACATATAGAAGATGAAGTCTGTCTCAAATTAAAAGGTGCACTGTGTAGGTTTTCAGGTTGGGGGTCCATGATGCTATTGGTTTACCTGTAATGTTCCACAATATGGTATTAAACTTCATATATTTATTCCATTATAGGTCTTTTTATTGTTCAAAAATGCCTTTAAAAACATGCATTCTGACAGAGTGCGGTCGCCTCTTTACAGATCTCACCTGTAAATTGGTCTGGCAGCATCTCCTGCTTGTCTCGGTGGAGATTGATGAGTTTAATGCTATACTTTGGAACATAGCAGGCAAAGCAATAACCATCTCCATGGAAACAAGCACCTGACAGGTTACTTAATGCTCCTTTAAAGCTACACTGAGGTCCTGAAGTGGAGTTCGCTACCTGCTTGTGTCCAGAAAGATGGTAATGCAATGTTTGGAATGTTCCCCAGTATAACATTACAATTATCTATGTTGCGCTCTTTCAACTACAGCACTTTTTATAGCCTCAAAATGTCATTAAAAACCATGCCAGTGTCTCCATGGAGATAGATCAGTTTAGAGACATGCTGTGGAACATTCATGGCTGTACTGAAGATAGAAAATCCTCCACTAGAAAAGTTGTAAGTTGTGCGTTTAATTATTTTCGAAAATATATCAAGACAAGTGGAGTGTTTTTTGGTAGCTGCTGTTTTCCTCTGGCACAGTCCTATTCTCGCGCATGTAGAGCTGTGTGCAGTCTCCAGGTCAGAGGGAGGATTTAGAGCCTTGTAAAGCTGCTTTTGTGTGGTACACTTGAGGTGTCCTGGACAACGACACTCTCTCAATCCCCCTCGCTCTGATTTAGGAGAGCGCCACGACCAGCCCTGAGAGCCCCCTTTATTTCCCACATCACTACAGACTCATAAACCTGTGTGCTTCAACTCCCCTGCGCAAACACATCCGCAGACTATATGTACTGCTGGCTGTTTCCTCTGAGTTTTCGTGGGTAAACAATGCCTTATGTGATATTTGCCTGGACTATAATCTCCACTTGTTTATGAAAACTTAGTGACAGCTCCACATTCACACAGTTACACCGCCGCTGTGATGCTCACTCTTTGACATTAAAAACAAAACGCAGGCAGCAATCACGACGTGTCAAGTCAATTTAGGCGCTCTCCTTTCTCGTGGTGAAAATAAATCATACGCACAGGAGAGGAGTTTGACATGTTTACAAAGAAATGCAATCACTTAAAAGTACATTCTCTCTCTCGCTGGCTGCTACTATGTACATATTGTTTATTACACACTTGGACAATTGCAATCAAAGTGGAAATATGTGACACTAAATTGTATAGACTTGATTTATTTCAGTGACAGTGATTTGTCACAAAGTAAATACTATTTTAATGCTACACTGAGTAACTTTTCTGCAGCCACTGAGATGCTATTGCTTTGATTATGACATTAAACTATTATTTCTATAGATTTTCTATAGATCCTAAAAAACATATGTTCTTTCTGTGAGAACAGTTGCCTCTCCACAGATCTGACCTGTAACTTGGCCTGATGGCGCTTGTCTCTACAAATAGATCTGCTTAATATCATACGTTGAAACATTCTAGGCAAAATTGTAGCAAAGTTAGGCAGTGTACCTTTAAATTACCAGCTATGAAGAAAAAAAGTAAATTTTTTGCATTTTACCCTCAATATTCAAAGCATATATTTTTTGGATTAATTTGAATTTTTGTTTTTCCACCACCAATAACAGACGAAACAGTAGAAATATGAAGAAAAACTAAACAAAGTAATTTTTTTGCGTTGTATCCTTTTCAATATTCAAATATATTTTTGTTGATTCATTTTAATTTTCGTTTTTCCACCACAAATAGCAGAAGAAACAGTAGAAGTAGAATCCTCTCCGGTGACAATGTACTAAAATCTTGTATCCAACATTTTAGCGACATCTACTGCTGCCTGCTGAGCTATAGGTGATAAAGCATCTATACAGCCCTGTCAAGCGAGTATGCCCTTTAATGGTACTTTGTCGACATTATGGGAGTTGGATCACATAAGGAACAATACAGAAAGCCTTGACTCCGCTGACGAGAGCCATAGCCTGTAATTCAGCGCAGACTGGTCCAGGCTTGTGTCTTATATTACAGGGCTCTCACCGACTTTCACAGGAAGATAAATACACAGAGGCAAATACAGATGAGGGCAGGGCAGTTCACCTATGAGTCAAGTTCAGCTCCTAACCATCTGTTTTAGCAGCGCTCGCCACATAAAGAAAACACGCGCACACGAATAGAACCCTGTGAAAACAATAGTCTCCACAGAGACACTGTTAGCAAGGTGTGGTTGGCAATTTACATAAGTGAAAGAGAAGTTTAAAAAAGTATTGAGTTATTATGAAAATACTCATACATCAAAACAAAGACATGGTTAATGGTCAATGGTCAAGATTTACTCTATGGCTGTTTAATTAAAGATTATGTTTATGTTAATTAGGTTATATTTTGGGATGTACACTGAGGTAACAATAGTTTTTACTTTGATGTATGCTTCCAAAAATGTTTATTGATTAAAGTCTAAGTGGCTTAGTGCCCCCTAATGACTAATGATCTTTTCCATCCTTTATCTTGAAAACCCCTTCACTGAAGATGCAGTAGTCCTGCAGGTGATGAGGTAGTTTTACTTCAGACATTTTGTCATGTGCCATATGAGCCTGTGCCACATAGGTGTTCTCGATCAGTTTGTGTAAATGACTCTCGCCTTCATGGAATCATGGAGCCTTACATTCTGTGTTGGCAACAATCGAGGATTTAAAGTCAGAAAAAAGAGAACGTTTGATGAATTTTATCAAGGGGAAAGACGTTATTGCCCTTCTTCCGACGGGATTTGGGAAAAGCTTAATATACCAGTTAGCCCTGTTAGCGGAGCATTACACATGCCTACTGTTAAGCGAACGAATCCTAGTGCTGCGAGGTCAGACGCTTTCCACAAAGTGAAACCGGCTGATGAATCAGGTTAGGGCCCATGCACCATATACCACAATTTGAGAAACAGTGGTATAGAGAAGATGTAGCACTGGCCCAGCCCTATTTGAGTACAAATGCTAAACTTTTCCTGAGTCAATTTATCAAGATACACTGAAATAATAATTGCTGCTTGATTCAATCACAATAATTAGGATCATATTGATATTATTATTACTATCAACACTCATTTATGCATAAAATGAGAAAAGTGAACATTTAAAATGTAAAATGGCCAACGTTTAATAAAATAAAGCTCAGTTATGTATTTTTCAGTCAGTCAGTTAGTTTTCAGTTTCAGTTATGGAAATTGTACAGACTCAGATCATCTGAGCATTGTTGGTCACCACAGTTTTCTTGTTACAAAGTACATTTCTGGCCAGACTTTTTATGTTTGATGAAACTGCATGAGCTCAGTGTCTGTGGACATCTTGGCTCAGCACGAGTCACACACAAACAGACACAAAGAAAACTTCAAACTGACTTGAACTTTCAAAGATGTTGAACTCACTGGTCACAACACACAGACAAACTCCTATCAAATTATACAGTGGAAATGTAGGAAGGATTATGCATGTGCTAATTAAGACCTCTGGGAAGAAGCATTTGGTGTCTATCATCTGCGTAGTCTATAGAAATGCAGCAAATGTGATAATTAAAAGTATATTTATCCTTTTATTATGCAGAAATCAAACTTCTATTTTACCAAGACAGAAGTACATAAGCGTGCTAGGAAAAAGAATAATAATGTACCTGTCTTTCAAAACATGTTCTATTCAATTTACTGAGTTTTCAGTATATGAAAGAACTGTATTATCTTAAAATAATAAAATAACAAAAATGTATATACAACTATTTTTAAAACTTATATAATTAAACATTCGAAGTGTACTCTTTCGCTACAGCTTAACGTTTGATTTTAAAAACATGATTTAATTTACAATCCAAATAGTGATATAGCAGTGTTTTTGTTGACTATACTGCTTACTGATTTGAATGAAACTTTCTAAACACAATAAAGCTTTCTATTCTTCTATTTTATCCACATCTTGTCTTCTTTGCTGTACTAAAAAGCATGAGGCGTGGATGGATTTCACAGTGTCCAGAGACAATTCCACACTTGTATCTGATGTCTCCCTGCGGTGACAAGAGTGTGATAAAGTCCTACAGGGACAGCTCAAATCCCCGAGCCTCTCTTAGACTCACCTCTGATTTGCCACGGCTGAAGCAGGCTCCTTTGGTGAACTCATCGCAGTGCCACTCTGCCTCCTGCACACACAAAACACAGTCTGCTCACACACTATCACAATACAGTGGATCAGGCTATTAAGTGTTAGAAAACAACAAGCGTCTAAGTGCACTGGTAGCACAATCTCTATATTATGTACTATGTGAGTTGATTTGATGTCATTAACCAAGGATTACAGAAGATTGACAAGTATAATAACATGTAACCCTAAGTAAAATATGTCCACGATGCACATTTATAAGCAATGGTTTCACACAAGTACCACCACCTAAGATTGTATATGTGCAGAGTACCACCAAATCTAAAGGACCAAATTAGGGCTGAACCAGAAATAAAATGAGACTAAAAATGAGTTCTAAATAACCATTAATTCAAAGGAGGAGAGAAGTTTCTCTGAACAAAAACAAATATTCAAACTGCAGGAGGACCCATGCATGGTTTACCACAGTTTAAGAGACTCTGAAAATATAGTGTGGCCAATGATAGTTTGTACACCCATGTCAATAGACTTTTACTTATGAAAATAATAGGAATCAGGAGTGTTGCAGTGGGCTAAGTATTCGCCCACTAACCAGATGGTTATTGTCTCAGATTCTCATCATCAATGGTGCTGGGCGAGGACATTTAAAGGAGAGAGTTGTAGTAAGACATGTATCTGCCTTTAATAAATGCATATACAAACTACTACACAATTGATGCTTATTGATCATAATGTTATGGAGTAGATCATTATTAATTCAGTTCCTTGATGTTTTGCATTTGCCAATGAGATTTACATATTAAATCGTGTAGCGTAGCCAGCTAAAACATGAAAGAAGAGCTTGACTTATGCAAACTTGGTTGAAAAGGTAAAACAACCCAAAATCTTTACTTAAAAATAAACATGCACGTAGTACAGCCCTCAACTTTACACAGCATTTTAAAGAATCCAATTAAAGTGTGAACCTGCAGATAGGAGTGGCAAGCCTAAACGCCACAGTGATTTATGTGGTGGGCAGAGGCAGCCATCTTAAGACAGAAGACGTGGGTCCCCAGGGAGACATGTCAGCGTGATTTACATGTTAGGATCGCCTTTTGCATTTCACCACGGCCGAGGAAGAAATAATATGAATCCTCAGAGGTGCTGCAGACTGGCTTGGTCCAATTTCATTCGTTTAATTTGAGTGTGACCCCCGGGATACTTCTCATTGATAAAAGTTTGCTATTTTGGAAGACACCGCAGAGGCCAGCCAGGGACAGTGCGCGGTGACAGTGTGGAGAGGGGAGGGTTACTCAATATAACACACGTCTGGTACAATAATGCAAATGAAGACGAGTTATACAACGGCTACAGATGGAAAATGTAACCTTTCTATTCATTTTTAAGAGAAGTTTCACTGTAATACATATGTGACTAACACTTCATAATAACTTCACATTGTTTAGTCTTAATAAGGCAGGAAGAAAGGCTAATTCATACTTAACAAATAGTGGATTTAATTAATAGTATTAAGAAGGTTTTAACCTTCGTAAGAAATTAAGGGTTTAAGGTTAGGTGTTAGGGTATTAAAGTGCAGCTCATACAAATATTAGCTCACATGAAGTAGTATTACAATATTAATCCTCAGTCCTCATGTTTGTATAGGCTGAAGATAGGGTACATTTAATTGTACCAAAACATTGATCTGCATTTGACCAATTCATAGAAGAAGAATTAGCCTGTCTTGTTTCACAGATTGCTTTTAGTTGTATTAAATATATTATTATAGGACTGAATACCAGATTGATAGTTGGTTTTGGCACTTTTTAAATGTTGTTTTCATCATGCAGGCAAAAGAACTTGTTATGAAAAAAACAAAATTACAGATTTTTTTCTGCAGTTTTTTCTACAATTTTCCCTTTATCAATCAAGCTTCTGCTGGAAAGTTCATTTGGTTAAATGTAATCTTATAAATGGCAAACCCATAATATTCTTTGAACATGAATAGATGATGAAACTCTCAACTCTAAAAATAAAACCAAGCACCATGTTGTAATTTCCCCATGAACTCTGATTGATTTCTACACTGCTCCTTTGGGGGTACGTGTGGGGTCCATTAGTGGGTCTTAGCCCACCCCCTCGTGATCAGCGGAGGCACTTTGGAGCACCACAGCACCATGCTCTCCTCTCTCCTGCTCTCCTCTCGTCTGCTCTGCCCTGTGTAGCAATGCTGCTGATCTGTGGTTTGTGCCTGTGGTCGCTCGCCCAAGAATAGTCTGCTCTGGCCTGGAATGTGAACTGGCATATGCATGAGAGAGAGAAAGAAAAGAAAGAAGAGGGAGAGAGAGAGAATGAGAGAGAAGAGAGAGGAAAGAGAAGAGAGGAAGAACGATAGAGAGAGAAAGAAAGAGAGAGAGAGAGAAAGAGGGAGAGAGAGAGAGAAGAGAGGGAGAGAGAGAAGAGGGGGGGGGGAGAGAAAGAGAGAAAGAATGAGAGAGAGGAAAAAGAGAGAGAAAATGAAAGAGAGAGAGACAGAGATAGAGGGGGAGAGAAAGAGGAGAATGAAAGAGTGAGAGAGAGAAAGTGAGAAAGAAAGAAAGAGAGAGAGAGAGAAGAGAGGAGAGAGAGAAACAGGGGGATTGTGAAAAGAGAGAGAGACCGCGAGAGCAATGGATGTTGAGGAAAAATGAATGAGATTGAGAGAGCGTAAGACTGAACAGACAGAAAGAAAAGGAGAGAGGGCAAGAGTGACAGAGAGACTGAGAGGAGAGGGAGCGAATGAAGACGGGTGAGAGATGAAGGAGGCACAGTGAAAAGAGAGAGAGGAGAGAGAGCAGGGACGCACAAGTCAGCTCCTAATAATACTCCATATCTTATCCTCTTTGAATAGTGTCACAGTAGGCCTCCTCATGCTGTTTGTGCGTGTGCGTGTGCATGTGTGTGTGTTTGTGTGTGTTTGTGTGCCTGTCTGTGTGTGTGTGTGTGTGTGTGTTTGTGTGCCTGTCTGTGTGTGTGTGTGTGTTTGTGCATGCCTTTGTGTATCTGCAGCGTATGGGACGGCTCTATGGGTGTCTGAGCTCCCTAAAGGCTGCTGAGGTAAAGCTTAGCCCTCATCATAAAACGCACAGAGAATTCCCAGAGAAAGAGAAAATAAAAGCATTTCTCCTCTGAGCCAAAGGGCCTCAGCTGTTTTCATCCTCGTGCAACCATGAAAATCTATACTCATGTGGAATTACTCGCACACAACAGAGGAGATAAGCACATATTTATACAATGATACTTTTGCACATATGTCTTATACTAAGAAACTAAAGAACAATGACATATGTTAAATTTAGATTCTTAGATTCCGTGGCCAACATACTCTGAACTGTATCATACCAGAACCCATTTAATGTACATATACATTATCTGTATCATTATTATCAAAAAGGGAAACTACTATGTCAAATTCTGAAATATTAAAATGACTTCTTAAATATGAAGCTACTTTTGTCTCATTAATATTCACAAATGCACAGATAGTGATCTACAAATAGTCATTGGTTTGTACACGTGTTTTGATTTCCACAAATGCAAATTTAATATTTGTAACTTGTATTTTGGTATTTACAAACTGATGTGTAAATATATCTTTTTTCATTTTCAAAAAATAATTTCATTTGTAAAACTGAAAATTCAATTTGTAAAATGTGATTGTGGATCACCACATACACAAATTCACCAATTTCCGATATAACATAATTTTGAGACACTCATTGTGAGAAATCCACAAACTCAGACAAATCCACAAACAGCTGACACGTACTTGACCAGCAGGGGGCAGCAGTTGGCACACGAAACATCTGACACTGCCAAAACGGATGCGTCTGCCGAAATGAAGTGTGTGTAGGATGGTATGTAACGTTAATGAATTGTCTACAAGCCCAGTTCCTTATTGATTATTAATTATGATGTGTTGTTACTAAATTATTATATGTGTTATGTACAAACCAGTGACTATTTGTAGATCACCATCTGTGCATCTGTGAATATTAATGAGACAAAAGTACCTCCAGACATAAAAGGGCCTAGATTACACAAAATTTACTCTTGTGAGCTTTAAGCCATGTTATAATGTTACCTCGTCAAAAACATACTCAAAGTTATGTTTTGTTTCATTCGCACATTTGAGTAGTCCCCAATGCTCAAAATGCTCAGTTCCACTTTGTGATGTCATGCAATGGTAGTTTTCAAGTTGACACCTAACTTTTACCTTTAGTTCAGTGGAGATTGGCAATTGCAGGGCTGAAATGATCAAAATGATTCTCGTGAAGGTGCATGGAGTTTAAAAACACAGTGGAGCACCTTCTTTATTACCAGATGACATCACAAGGTGGAACTGTTTTCTGTTTTTGAGAGAAGAACTCAGCTTAAATATGAGGGATTTCTGTGTTAAACATGTATGAATGAAACAAAACAAAACTCCGGGTATGTTTTTGGTGAGGAAACAACATACAACATAGATGAGAAACGAGCATAACATGTCCCTTTAAGAATTATTCAGACTAACAGTTAAACAATACTTTAAGACAATAGCCTAGATATACAAACAATACTTTTTATAATTCATATGTATTTATTATTTTCACATAACTTCCAAAGCCAGTACACATTATAAGTGTAAGTATAGGTAGTAAAGTGTTCTGCGAAGTACATCTGTGGGCCGATCTGACGGGCTGCAAATGAGCAGAATCACAACCATGGAGGAGCCAGCGTCATTAAGGAGCATTAAAAGCCCATTAACATGCTATTGTTCAGGCACACTGCTCCCAAGATGATTCTCAGAGAAATATGTCATCTGTTAACTCATCTGTCTCTGCCTCAAGAACTAAAATATTGCTAAGAGTTTTTTTCAGGATTTTTTGTGGAATTTGGGTAAGGAGTAAAGGGATGAACAGAGGAGAGGAAAATGGTGAGGCTGCGCTTGGTTTAGGGGAGATGAATTGTCAAGGTTACAAGCCATGCAGTGTGAGGTAAGGTATACTTTACTGATCTCTCATGAGGGAAATTCGTTCTCTG